CCTTGCCAGTCAACCATTCACCTCTGACTTCCAGTTTCTTGTCGGAAATTCGGGCAATGATTGAGAGGACTTTATCTGACCAATAATGTCAACCTGTACGTAGGTGTGTGCGCACGTGGAGAATGATTAGAGAATACGAGTGGTCTGTCTTGAAGCAAAAAAATAATTAGAGAAAATATGGTGGAACTCCTCTCAAGGCACTCCTGAAATGAGGCACCTCTCAATAAGGACAACTTTCTTTCCCCAAGAAAGAACAGTTCTTGCATGCCACTTCACCCTGAAAGAGGACACCTCCACTTATATGGACCACTTCTTTCTGTCCCCACTGGTGTTGCGATCAGAGGAGAGTTCCACCTGTAAAAAAGACTCATCATCGTACTCTTTGGCATGACATGAGAGGAGAGGAAGAGGGATGGCCGATGGCCATCCTACTCCCCCTCCCCTCTCTCCCTACGTCAACCTCCTAATCATCTCCTCCAACATTAGGTCCTCTAGTCGGAGCTGGCGGACTCGGACCTGACATCTGAGAGAGAGAAAACAAACAGAGAATGGTTGCTACGCAGTTACTAGCTATTGTATTTCATGTGAGTGAGGAGTTAAGGATATCGTACTGTTTTTTGTTAGTTTTTTGCCAGTTTTTTCTCGCGTATGTCTCCTTATGTGTATGCTCTATCTCAAATATGGTAGTATATATATAATTACAGTGGGTTAATTTTCGGCTGACTTTTCACAAGCCTCGTCGATGTGTTTCAAAGAGCAGGTTCTCATCTCGAAGAAAAGAGAACATCCTCAGCTGAGGTCTCCAACATGACGGTACACTGTGACTGAGGAGAGGGTTATAGGCTGAGGTGACGCCTGTGGGCAGTAAAAAAACATCACATTTTTTCTACAGCAAAATTTGGAGGAGTTTGTACAATTTTATTGATGCCAAAGAGGAGGTGTCCTTATGTGCAGGGGTGTCTGTATTACGACTGGTGTCCTCTTCAGGGTGTCGTCTAAGTGGAGAGGCTGTCCTCATTCAGGGTCGCGTAATTAGAGGGTGTCCCGCATATTCACGGGTGGTCGTAATTAGAGGGGTTGAGTCCTCAGTTCATCACGGGTAGTGTCTGAATTAGAGAGGTGTCCTCATTCAGGTGGGACTTGTCGTAATTAGAGAGGTGTCCTCATTTCAGGGTGGTCTTATTAGAGAGTCTCCGCATTTCAGGGTGTCCTCAGAGAGGGGTTCCACTGTTATTTACGTACGCACACACACACACACACACACACAAACCCTAACCTGCAGCATTCGAGGCTCCAAATCCCTTTTTGATAAAGTCAATATGTGGCTTCAGATTAATCAGAAACCCAAACTGTGTCAGTGCCTCTTTCAGCCAGTCCAGTGACTCCGAATGAACCTGCATTAATTGATAAAAACACCAACGCAATTAATTAACCCTTTGCCCACCACCACTCACGGCTGTTTCAACACAAAGAAAGATTGACAAAGGAGGGTGGCATTCTCGTTGATATTTTGTATATGTGCAGTGTCCGTGAGATACAAACTACGTATAGAAAATATATATGTTGTAATGTTCTACGTGATTAAACGTCGTTCTGAAACACGCTCGTAAAATTCATAGCAATCGCTCGCTCACTAAATGCATACATCAATTTTCTCCCTCCATATTCACCTTTGGACTCTTATGTTCGAAGGAAGCCTTCATCACTTGCATACTGGTGTAGTTTAGCGTCATTCTCTCTGCTATCAGCATCAGGACCTCCACGCACACCGGCTTCACCTGATGGGGCAGTTACAGGGAGAGAGAACAAGATTGTACAGCGAGAAATATACAATTACACCACTGAATAAGGGTGACCTTAATGCCCCATTATTAATCAGAGGTGTCCCTTATTTGGAGAGTAATACACTAATGTATTAGTATGGGGCAGAACCAAGTGTAATAAATTATCATAGAATGAGAGAGAAGGTTGCGTGTTCAGTGAATCTGTTAGGACCTTTGCGTCTCCGAGCTTATCCACAAGAGCAGGAAGACAAGCGTTGGTTGATCTTCTTCCAAATACGGCGGCCCGCTCGGCTAACACCCCCACCACGGCAAACTTCCCCTTCATCACCTGCAGGTAATGAATATTGACAGAGTGTGCTTTATTTAGAGTTGAATATTGACAGGTGTGCTTTATTTAGAGTTCAATTAAAGGGAATGTGGCATATGGCTAAATTTTGAAATGTGAACAATAGGAGCAATTCTACTTACCTGAAAGTTGCTATCTTTCCAGCCTGGTTTCCGTGCCAGCACTTTGATCATCAACAGTGACTGCATCTCGTCTCCTGGCAACCCCTCTACAAACTACAAACAAAAAACAAAATATGAGCTTGTCTTTACTTTCACATTTTGAACACACACGCGTCGACGATAATTAATTTGAGATGCATACCTGTTTTAGTTTCTCGCATGCTTCGAGTCTCTCTTTCCATTTCGGGTCTTCAAAACGTGCCAGGAGTCCAGGCGGGAGGACCTCATTGGCTTTATCATCGAGTTCTTCCGACTACACAGAGAGAAGAGGGAGGAGAGAGAGAGAGAGAGAAGAGAGAGAGAGAGAGAGAGAGAGAGAGAGAAGAGAGAGATGGATGGATGGAAAATATAAAGGTGAAGTTGTAGACATTTGTAATCTCAAGCCCAACATAAGCATTCCTGCAGAATTACGTAACTGAACCATTCAAGTGTTCGGTTCAATTCTGCAGGAAATGGCCATAAACCACCCTCAAAAGGACATGCCTCTACTGCAGAACTGTTCCACAAATTCCACCTGGGAAGAGACACTAGGTCTCCACCACCTTGTGTGCACATGTTCAAGTTGTGTGCGTTTGGGGTTAATATTAGGTCACTGCGCGACCCTGCAAAAAATTTTCTTCTTCTTCAGATTCAACAAAGCCTAAGCTAGATAAACGTCAACCTCCGCAGCGCCCCAGGTTTATATAGCAGATACGCGCAGCAACCCTTGTGGTTAATAATGATATTCATTTGCTCATTTTAGGGCATGCGCAGTGGCCAGAAGCTACTTACCTTCTCAGAATTGTTTATACTGCTGATTTTTACTGCTTTCTATATAGGCAACCAACAAGTTGTGAACTGTATTTAGGCCCAGGAAGAAACCAACCTCCGTGGTATAGTAGGCTAGGTTCTTTCTGCCATGCGCAGTATGTATACGCACCATCCTGCTAATGATATTCATTACACTACGCAATCTGCCACGCGCACTACCCAGGTAATGATATTCATTACACTACGCATTATGATTCGCGTGCACTGTTGTATACACACTCACTGAAATGGCGGGTTCAGGAGGATCCGGAGCCTCATCTTTGCCTCCTTTCCCCTTCCCTCCTCCTCCCGCTTTCCCTCCCTTCCCTCCTCCCTTTCCACCTCCCTTTCCACCTCCGGAGGAAGCAGCTGGCTTCTTCTTCTGCGACTTGGCAGCTGCTTTTGGTTGTGGCGACGGATCACTTTCTGCAGCCGGGGGCTTCGTAGGAGCCTGAGAAAGAAGAGAGAGATCACACAGCATTCTTCAGCTATAGTCAAGGTATTCAGGATGGTTAGTTGGTCTGTCCTTCCCTCCACTTGCTTGCTAAAAGTACAAACAATTTAGGCCACCCTATTCTTTCACTGCATTCTTCAGCTATAGTCAAGGTATTCAGGATGGTTGGTTGGCCTGTCCTTCCCCCCACTTGCTTGCTAAAAGTACAAACAATTTAGACCACTCTATTATTTCACTGCACACTCTAGCTATAGTCAAGGTATTCAGGATGGTTAATAGGCCTGTCCTTCCCTCCACTTGCTTGCTAAAAGTACGAACAGTTTAGGCCACCCTATTCTTTCACTGCACACTCCAACTATAGTCAAGGCATTCAGGATGGTTGGTTGGCCTGTCCTTCCCTCCACTGGCTTGCTAAAAGTACAAACAATTTAGGCCACCCTATTCTTTCACTGCACACTCCAGCTATAGTCAAAGTATTCAGAATGGTTGGTTGGCCTGTCCTTCCCCCCACTTGCTTGCTAAAAGTACAAACAATTTAAGCCACCCTATTCTTTCACTGCACACTCCAACTATAGTCAAGGCATTCAGGATGGTTGGTTGGCCTGCCTTCCTCCACTTGCTTGCTAAAAGTACAAACAATTTAGGCCACCCTATTCTTTCACTGCACACTCCAGCTATAGTCAAGGCATTCAGGATGGTCGGTGGCCTGTCCTTCCCTCACTTACTTTCTAAAGTACAAACAATTTGGGCTGTCCTATTTTCACAGTAGCTCCTCCTAGGATTACTCTCCATGGTACAGTAGTATTACATACCTTCTGTGCAGGTTTAGCATTCTCCTCCCCCTCTCCCTCTCCCTCTCCACCATCTTCCTCGCCTGGCTTCTTCGACCGTCTTTTCGGAGGGTTCTTTGTGCTGGACAACACGGGCCTCTTCTTGTGGGGCTTTTCGGCGACATCATCACCAAATGAGAAATCAAGAAGCGTACTATCGTCCCCTCCACCTCCCTCACCCCCGCCTTCCTTTTCAGACAATTTCTCCGAAATTTCTTCGTCGTCTCCCGTTTTTTTTGCCGGTCGTTTCTGACTCGAGAGTGCAGGCTTCTTTTTCACCGGTTTGGGTTGCTCATCGCCGTCACCGACGGATAATTCTAGCGGCGTTTTGGCTGCTGAAGGTCCCCCTTTCTTTGGTGCCGCATCAGTTGGTGTTGATGTACTGGCTGGTTCAGCCTGTAGTATATAGTGTATAGTGACAGCAATAGAAAATGCAGATGATGTCATATACACGTATAGTTCAGAACCACAAGTGCTGTGCTCCCTGTAGCCTTTATAAACTCGTGATGCCAGAGAGAGAAGTTGCTAGGTATGCTCTGCTGATGAGGGCCAACAAGCCCGAAACAGCTGTCCAGAGCTCCGCCTCTTTTTCTCTTGGCATCACATGGTATTTTCTACATGGATTTACGGTAATGGATGGATATGCCAAACCTTTGTTTTGGCGGCTGATTTCTGTTTTGTCATGGGGCTGGAGATGAGACCGACTTTTATCTTTAGCTCCACTTTCTCTTTGTGCTCCTGAATCTGTGGGGAAAGGGTTAATTATTAGAGTACACGCGTGATAGAAGTACAAGAACTATACATAAGTTTGATTTTTGCTACTACAACCTAGACAGTTCGATCTTTGAACGTATATATACGATCCTCAACACAGCAATATCAACTATACTATAATGCACATATTTTGTATGTACAATAACATAGGTAGTACCCACGAACCACAAAATTAAACAATCATTGAATAGCAACAAACACCCATGGGATGCTTCAATATCTGTAAAAGGTAAAACTTCTAGAAAACTGCCTAACCTGCTCGGAAAAATTTAACATTTTTACCATTTTTTTACAGATGCATTTACCTTTGCCATTTTTGTCTTGTCGATGGCCTCGATGTACAGGTTCATAGGTCGCTCCCCCACAACCTTCAGGAGGGTGGCGATGGATTCAAACGCCGCTTCTCTGACGTTCGGATCAGCACTCTCGATTTGCTTCACGGGAAATAGAATATCAGAGTCAACTTAAGGGTCAAATTTTCACGGACAGGCAAACAAATATTTGTGCTTAAACAGTAAATTGGGTCAACTTGTCCTTTGAGAAATCCACATGTGTTTTAAAGGGAATGTGTCAGTATGTATATAAGGTCTAAATTTTGACTAAACCAGAACTTAATTGCATTCTTTCACTGTGCTCCTATTGTTTTGTTCTATCTTTAGTAACATTTCAAAATTTAGCCCTTATATATTATACTGCCACGTTGCCTTTAAGCTACTGGGCCTTTTCCTGGCATTGTTGCTAAACTAGAACAACTCGACAGTACAATTAATGAACACTTGGGATCCCTAACGTGCACTTATCTTTAGGGGGTAAATGTTGTTGTGACCTTTGTACCTTTATAATGGGCGGGCAGAAGGCCTTTAGAGAGGCTTTTGGGAGCATAGCAGCTGTGCACTGTTGGAAGCAGCGGCACACGAAGAGGAGAGTTTCCGACTTGACGTTTGGGTTTTTGTTTTCGAGGGCTTCCAGGATCTGTTCCTGGATACCTCCGAGAGTGGTCTGGACGTGACGGGAGAGGAGGGAGAGGGAGGGAGGGAGGGGAGAGGAGAGGGAGGGGAAACATTTTGAAGTGTGATGGGGGAAAGACAAACGGTTGGTGCGCAGATAAAGACGAAAGTTCAGACAGAGAGAGGGGGACAATAGGGAGCACCAACATAGGGGGAAATGTGAAATTTCGGAACTAGATATATACAAAGGTTGGAGCAAGATAGGTGGAGAGAGAAAGAGATTAAAAATTCCTCTCACTGAGAGGTATGCGGCGTCTGCAGCGTCCCGGAGAGCCACTACGACCATCTGCTTCTTCTCTTTGAACTTCTCAAATATTCCAGCAAGATCTGAGCAGTAGAGAAAGAGGATAGGGTCAAATTTTCACGGGCAGGCAAAACAAATTTTTGTGCTTAAGCAGAAAAATATAAAGGTCCTTGGGTTTGTATGCATGCATAAACATGTAAAGAGAACCAACGGGAATATAACCCAGTAAGCCTCAAAGATTGAGGATTCATGAGCACAAAAATGGTTATGACAAAACAGAGACAGAATCAACTAAACGTAACTCACGAAGGGGCGTGGGCTCTGGAAAGCCTTGCGTAGGCGGTGGCCAATCCAGCAACGATGTACCTGCCACTTGCCACCACCATCACGTTACTGTCCTTCGTGATCACCTGCGCACAGATACATATCCACATGTAATAAATATGTGAATCATTCAAATTTCCCCCATATTATATACATCTCGCTCTAACTCATCATCTTTTCCCGCTCCAAACCTTTTTCAGAGCCTTCAACAGTTCGGTGAAGTCACCGGGAGTAATCTTGGGAGACTGAGACAGTGGCAGAACAAGCTCCAGGACTTCTTTTCTCTCTTTCCACTTCGTATCGGCCTTAGGAAGACAGGAGAGAATTACATTAACTAAAAAATCTACTCAAGTCACTATATGGGTCTGTGGTTAACACTTAACCAGCCACGGACACACAAATGCATCCAGAGCCTCCATATGTCCATAAGAATTTATATGGGGGTTATAATACTAGGCGTTAATACTTTATACATCAATTTCTGCTTATTTAAGGAGATGCCCTTGGCGTCGAAAGGTTTAAAATGAGCAAAACGTCTGCAGGCGATGCACACAATTGGCAAAACCCAAAAAATCTCACAATTCTGGTGTAGAAGTCCTTTGGTAGTTCACCCAGTACATCCACGGGATCCAAAAGGTCGTAGGGGTCAATTCCATCTGAGGCCCCGCCCACTTCCCCGCCCACATCTCCACCAGAATCAGCCCCGCCCCCTCCACCTCCGGCAGACACTACAGCAGCTGTTTCCTGTTGAAGGCAGAATTACAAAACTCACTATCATAGCCCCATACATCTATGATGCTAGGTACCATGTCAATCCCTATATACTGTACTACCGTACATACTTAGTGATAATATACACACATCTTCTTAACGTACAGTACTAGAACAAATCTACACCATCTTTTAAACCGTTCCACCGGTTGAAAGTCCATTTTCCTATACATGTCTATGGGACCTGAAGTCGGTGCTGCATTACATAAAGTCACAATCAACAGAGCTGTGTGGTGGTGTACTGGGGGGAGGAGGGAGGCATGCCGCAATGACAACTCTCATTTGCTGAATGAATTTCTGTGTGTGCCTCGTTACTAGTTCACATGTACATGTATGTAGCTCAAGAGTGGGACAACGTCTGTGTAGCAATGTAATGGACGACCAACTATTGGTTGTGGGATGATACAAACGTGTGTATAAGTTATACTCATACTCTATAGCGGGCACTATTGCAAATCTCAGTCTATTGCTGTGTTGAGGATCGTATATATACGTCCAGACTACTCTCGGAGGTATCTCTTTACTAGTTCACAGACATAGTATCATCTTAAGGGTGGGACGCGCGACATGTGTACGTTTTAATGGACGATGAAACTATTGGTTGTGGGGTGCTACAAACTCGTGTGTGTACTCCATGTCAAATTTGTCGACGTAATGCCTGCAATTTCTCACAAATGCACGCCAATTAATCCGAAATCTCATCAAAGAGTGCAAATTCCGTAGCCAATTTACTGTACATTTGTGGTACATACCTCACAATCACTTCATTGTTTCAGAGAAGCAATTCTAACCTCACTACAAAACAATTACGAAGCAATTTGTAATGGTTGAATCTACCTCCAGTTGACTAATGGAATACTCGGATTTCAACCTTCCATTTCTTCCAAACACTTCAACTTCTGAGAAGTTATTCAAATCTCATCAAAAAAGAATTCATTACTTTACTATACACAAATTATAGGGCTCATCCCCCTACCACCAAGCGTAGTAGAGAATTGTTCCAATATTATCCGCCGAGTATTTAAGCGAATCATCAGGGCTCTTCCTAACACTCGGACTAAGACTCATAAAAAAACTGCACTTCTTCGAAAAAAGATCATCCATTAAACGTCAGAAGTCCAGGACTCAGAAAAACGACGCGAAAATGCTCAAAATCTGCTCCGTGTTTGTGATCCTGAGCGCCGCTATAGCGGGCACTATTGCAAATGTCAGTGAGGCAGACTGCACCGCGATGGAACAAAATGTCGCCGGACCGACTGCACTATCAGGAGGATCTGCCCCAACGGGAGATCCGCCGAGTGGGAACCACTCCCGCTGACAAAGATCGGCACAGTCAACACCCAAGATAACGAAACTCCAGACGTTCCGTATTCCGTCCTCCGTCCCCACGGATGCAACACGAAAGTCTTAGTTTACATGTACATCAGGTAATGAAAAGCACTGAAGTGCAAACCTCGGCGACTGCGCACGCACGTACCACTAATTGATGGGTCGGGCTTTAGTATGCGTTACTCGTGGTCTCCCGCTAGTAGCTCGCGAGAGAGTCTGACCGGGCCAGCTACAGCAGTAGATACATAGCATGCGGGAGTGTCGATACACGGAGATTCTATTTGGGTGTGTTTTTCTATTCTGTGTATTTAATTTCTCTTTTATTCCAATTCAGTGTTTTGTTTCGTTCTTCAGCAACGGCTGGGACCAAAAAGTGTTCAAACATTCGTGAGCATTTCACGAAGGACAGCCCCCAGCGACAATTACACGCAGTACATGACGACCCACATCTACCCGCAGTAAGCGCCACACCTACACCACGGAGAACATGTGGTTCCCATGACAACCGATCGCCTCGTCTACGTCTCCATCAGAACGGACTGATAGAAACAGCGTATCTGAGATATAGTCATCGGATACCGCTAATTATCCGGGGTCGCCAAATGAAAAAAACAAAGAAATGTTTGAGATTTGTGAAGTAGCAAAGTTAGCAAATGTGACAATTGTAGCAACAGAGACAATAGTAGCTGATCGTAGAATGATGATTGATTCGTTCTCCGTGTGATGATGTGTCACTTTATTAGCAATCATGAAGTTATTGAGTTAAGGGCGGAGATGAGATCACCTGCACACCCGGAGGAAGTCATTTAGTTAAAACTACAAGTACCGTGCAATGACACTCTATGATGGACTTTTTAAATATGGGGCACACAATTATAAAGCTAAGACACTTGACTGTTCTCATGTTTCTGCTGATGAGATCCACTCTGACCACCTGTTGTGATCATGATGGCGGCGGTTTGGAACTGCTGGTCAGACACTCTGCCCACTCGCCGTCCAGTCCTTCATCTGTACGGTTGAGCGATTGTCGAGGATGCCTCTGATGGGGTGGACCCATCACCGATACACCTCTACTGCTAGTCGTTTGCCTTATGGGGGAGGAGAGAGGGAAGGGAGGAGAGAGGGAGGAGGGAGAGAAATGGAGTTACATACAGGAAGGAGGAGGGGAGGGAGGGAGTAAATGAGAGAAGAAACAAGATTTAGATAGTCTCTGCTGCTATTCAGCTACGTTTCCCCCCGCACCACAAAAACCACCTACCAACACAACACCACATAATGTATCATAATACAAAACTTCCTATCATAATAGCTCCATACATCTATGATGCTAGGTACCATGCAACCGCACTTAGTGATACACATACCCTACTGGTACAGCACTGTAGGTACTTACATTACTAATACATGTATTTACAAAACACTAATAATTATCACCTCGGCTCTGACATTCTTGTCGCTGTGTTCAAACATGGACGGCATTGATTTCAGCAGCTGTTTCATATTCACCACCTTTGCCCCAAACTCGCTGCATCAATACCCAGTTACAAAGACGACACGTGGTCGTTCAATGGTACAATACAAATTATACTCTAGAAACACTACATGTATATAGTTACTAGACAAATACACTTTTAGCACTGTGTTAATGTCACACTGAACCAGCCGGGGACACATATGTAGAGGTGTCCGCCTCCACAAGTCCATAAGAATGTATATACATAGGGTCATAGCTAGACAAAGACAGTAGCTAGACAAATACATACAGATGTGTCCAGAGCCTCCATAAGTCCATAAGAATAGTACAGTACAGTATAAAAACTATTGTAGCAGCACTAGATTTTATAAAAGTGCATTCCATTGACTCATGGGATAATATTATACATTAGTGTATAATATAGTGTCTGGTGAATGAGAACGGTATGATTATGAAGACTTACGTAAGCATCGTTCTTAGGACAAAGACACAAGCTGTGACAATCTTAGGTTGCTTGTTTGTTAGTCCTTTTGTTATCTCTTCCTAGAGGGAGGGAGGGAAAAAGCAAAAATCAATACGTAAAATTAATGTACATAGGTTTATATGTGAAACATGAATCAAGTGATCAAGTAAAGAAAACTATACGCAAATTGTCATGGTTACAGTTACCTGGACGACAGCTTGTTGTTCCATTTCGGTGTACATGAGACAGACGTCAATCCGCCTTGTTTCGTCTTGGGTCTGGCGTTGAGACACTTTGTCACTATTCCAGCCACCACTGCTTCACAGGTCCTATTGTTAGTAACAATTACATCATAATGATGTAATGCTGCCACGGCTACATAATCAAACAACAAAGGTCGTTGCATAATTGTTTTACACAATGAATAATGTTCATCTAAAAGACATTAACACAGCCCTGAAGAGCATTACAAACTATTCATACACATACAGTGAAACTCCTCTCTAAGAACACCCCTGAAATGAGGACACCTCTCTAATAAGGACACCTTTTCTTTCCCCAAGAACAGTGCATGCAGAAGGACACCATGCACAGCATATGTACACATAAGCTTTCTTCTGTCCCATTGGTGTCCAAACTAGAGGGTTCCACTGTATTACAACCAATATTTACCTATCAGCAATAGCAGCACACTCTACAAAAGCCAGAGTGGCTCCGAGAGCCTTCTCCTGGGCATCGCGTTAGTCTCACACACACATTTTTTGATCATCCGGATGAACTTGTGTACTCTGAGCTTTTCTCGTCGTCGATTCGTCTGAATAGTTTAGCAGCTTCTTCGTAGCCCATCATACGGGCTTTCCAGACCTGTAGGAGAGAGGGGAGAGAGAGGAGAGAGGGGAGAAGAGAGGGGAGAGAGAGGAGAGAGGGAGAGAGGGCAGAGAGAGGCGAGAGGGGCAGAGAAAAGAGGAGAGGTGAAACAAGAGGAGAGGGGGAGGAGGAGAGGTGCAGAAAGAAGCAAAGGGGGGAGAAGGATGGAACCAAATTTAAGAAGGGAAAGAGGACAGAGAGGGGGAAGAAAGAAGGGAGAGTGTAGCAGGGAGAGAGCGGAAAACGAAGGGCAGGACGAGAAATAGAAGACAGGGAGAGCGAGGAAGTGATCAAAGACATTTCAAGACTTCAGTCCGCGCGGCTCGTACTTGTGGCTCAGCTTGTCCTCTAGCGGCAGCTCGAGAAGTCTTCTGGGGTGGCCTTCCGCCATAGCTCTGAGTTATTCTGCCAAGGTCTTCGTAAGTCGTTCCTCTCTCCGAATGCCGATTTGGCTTTCAACCACGGTGGGTGTTAATTGGAATCACTGCTCGACCAATCAATTTTCTGCATTTTCGATGTCACGTGACAACGTTCGCGTGTGGCGCAAAGTGCGGGAAAAAAGATGGCGGCCGAGGACGATGCGAGCGAGAGACCGACTGGGAGGCGCTCAGCCGCTGGAAGACGAATCAGATACGGACGGAGTCGACGGGGAAGCGAGCGTAACGAGAGTTTCGTATCGTCGAAGCTCTACGCGACGCTCAGTGCTCCCGGGGATAATTCTCTACGTCTACATCCTGTACATCATCTTAGCGAACCTCCTCTACCGTGCTCTCTTAGTCCGTTCTTCCTCGCAACCGCTCCTCATCTCCGCTACTTTGATACAGTTTGCAGCCAATTTCTCATTTAGCTGCATAATGCTTTGTATTTACCCTGAATAGGCATGTGCTGTGTCTTACAAGCTTTCTCTCTCTGTTTTGTAAATTTCTAGATGAAGCTCGGGTTCCCTTTGTTCCCGATGAGGAGTGCAATTCTAAATAATGCCGCCCTCCTCGTTCTCTCGCGGCGCAGCACTCGCTGATGGCCAGCAACGGTTTGAACAGATGTGAACACTTTAGGGCTGTCGGCAATATCGAGACTTATGTACGTCTTCACAACATGCTGTACGATACAGGTGTGTGCATAATATTATTATGGTATATGAGACTATATAATATATGGTATATGAGACTGTATGGGCGAAGGTGTCAGTATTTTTTTCTGACTTGCATGCGAGTTTTGTGTTACAACTTCCTCTTCTATTTAGTGCCCCCTTCCCTCTTCCACTGCAAAGTAAGATGTCATGATGATGGTGGTGGTGGTGGGGGAACAAATATTGATCTTGAAAATTATACCTGTGACTGAAAGGGGGGCACCTTTTTCAGCGAGATATACACCTTGCCGCTAAAGAGAGCGTGTCTCATTATTTCTCTGTCCTCAGTTAATCCACCATTTCTGGACTCCAACTCCCGCACACACCCTATGGGAGTGCCATGGCTACCTCCTAACACTGTCACTCAAGGCTGTTCACAGTGGCTGCTGGCTCTCAATCGCCTGTTCTCTCTTTACCATCGACTACCTCGAACTACTGGGCATCAAGCAGGTGGGTTGAAAAAAATATATAAATCAGAGTTTTCCAAACGAAGGTCATGAAAGGACAGAAGAAAAATGAAACCCTGTTCTCTATTGGTTTTTTTCTTGTGGAAAGTCTTCTTTTATATATATACCTCTCCCTTCTTTCCCTTATTCAACATGGCACTCGATATATTTCTTTCTCCTCTTCTTCTTCTCCTCTTTCCTCTTTTCAGTTGTACTATTCCTACAACGGGTTCGGTGACCCCCTCCACTACAAGTCGGCCGAACAGCAATATCTTCTTCGCCACATGCGCCACCCATTTCACCGCACCTTTTATCCTCATGTGGGCCGTGCCCGTAATGTCTGCGACAGGCTACTCCTTGCCGTGATGCTACCGCTCTACTTGGCCTGGGCTAGCGGGATCAGTGCACTGGACATGAAGTACGTTAGGACGCAGTTTATCAACAAGTGGAGACAATTGCTGAAGGATCATCATAGGTGAATTTCTGAACTTTTTTCTGTGTGTTACACTTCCTGCTACATTTCCTCTCTTAGTCATCATTTTCCCCTCACTCATGTATTGTCTTGTATACATTGTATACAGCATTCAGAATTTGTTAACCTTTTCTGAAAGGAAAAACGCGCGCATGAGCAGTTTCACGCATGCGTGGACAGGACGTAAAAAGCTACGCATGCGCGTAGAGTTGCGATAAAACGATCGGCGCGGGGTTCTTGTTTTCTTGTTTTTTTGCCGCAAGAAGTTTTTAGTGAAATGAAGACCGCACTGTGTACGCTGTCTGTTCTATTTCTCCCTCTGTACTCGGACGCTTCCCTCTTCCAGCGTTTGGGACACGGAAAACCCGACCGATTGTCGGCAGTCTCGCGTATTCTGACGCGGCCGTTTACGCCGTCCGTCGTACCGTTTTCACGCGAAGACGACGAACGCTCTGCAGGAGGTCGTGTGGGGGAATGGAGAGAAGCAGTAACGGAAGCAATGCGTTTAGGCCGACACCAACAGCAGCAAAACGCCGTGACGCTGCATCGCAACATCCCGAAATTGGACGTAACGAAGCCGATTCCGTTGCTCCCCGCCGCATCCAACGCAACGACGAAACGGGTGGGAGGTTCGTGCACTTCAAGCGACGACGTTCACGCTTTACTGGACGATATAGTCTGCAGCAAGAGCTACCTAAAGGCGCTCGTGTCCGCCGCCAGGAGATGCAACCTCTTCGCATACTTCGATTCGGATCACATCCGCGGATGCGGCGTCGACTCGAACGGTACGTACTGCCGCAAATACGAGCGAGAATTCCCCGATCCCGACTACGTCGCCTGGAACGTTCTCCAGCAGTGCTCGCTGCAGACAAAGTCCGGTACGTGCAGCTCATCGTGCAAATCGGCACTCTCAAACTTTGCGTCGAAATTCGGCTGCTGCATTCACGTGAGCCGCGTAAGCTGGTTCGCCGAAGACAACCCGCATATTCTCGTACTCAGCTCAGCGCTCTGGACTTTTTGCGGGCTCACAAGACCAAAACCGTGCGGAAATGTCCCGGATCTCCCGCAGTCAACCATCGCCGGATCCTGCACGTACGGATGCTACGCCTACGCTCGCTCGGCACTCATTTGCGAAGGCGTCGGCGAACAGCTAATCGATACGTACAACAACTGCGGACGCAAGGGAACGGCTCTCGAGCTCGGGCAGTTGTGCGGACTCAACCAAAACGGCATGGCGTGTTTCGAACTGCAATTTTCGGACAACACCGACTACCTTCTATCCGTGTACACTGATTGCTTCAAGTATTTCTCTTCGGGCGCTTGCACGGAGAAGTGCTCTCGGGCGCTCAAACGATTCCGCAGCAAGTACGGCTGTTGCGTCAACGTGTACAACGGAACTGCTTTCGGAGACAGCAGTCAATTACTGGGGAGCATCGTCACGAGTTACGGTCTGTGGTCGCGTTGCGCCGTCGAGTCTCCCGGAATGTGTTCGTTACCGTCCGAAATCGAAACGGGAAATCGAACGTATAACGTCCAGGCTTTCTGTGACGGGCTGCTAACGGGAGGAGCGACAACGACAAACAACCTTGTTTTTATGCTGTGGTTACATATCCTTTTATCTGCTCTGTGTATTTTTGTTTGACAGACACACATTCAGCTTTGTTCGTGTACAACCGCGGCCTCTCTGTAGCGCGCGCGGGCGTGCGTTCGTTCACGTGCGCACGGCGGCATGGGCGTGCGCTACCGCGCATGCGCAACGTTTTTAGCCTGCGCGCGCCGAAGTAGATGCGGCATAACAAAACGTCGACAATTGTACAAGCACACATCGTTATTCTGTTCACTGAATGTTTTTCACACACACACATTTTCAAGCAAGCCACACGCCACTCTGGCAAGTACACTATATTCAGATTCTGGCTCTAGCGACCCCGATTCTCTTGTTGCCAATGTCAAACTCGGTGTAGAAGATGCCGATGAAAGTGTCTCCCAGGATCCAGAGGGGGTGGGGCAGATCGAGACCCTGGAAACCACTCAGACAGAACGTCTGACCAGCTCTGCGTTATCTACAATACAGAGAAAGATACAATAAACATATATTATATGTAATACTTTCTCGAGAAAACAATAGGAAAGCGTGAAATAATGACTGAGGTAAAATGCTGCTATTAGCATTCGGTAAGAAAGAGCAACAAATGACACAATGCTAGTATAAGTATATATTAGGTGATGACTCTTCTATATAGATTTCATATATGAGGCTGAAACCTGTATGTACTGTATACCATACCAAACAGTATAGAGAACTAGCAACACTAAGATGAACAGTTATACTGACTTACGTTGACTACGTATTCCGGGCCGGAGAGTTCGAAGGTCATGCTATTGATCTTAAACCCGACTTTTGGCAGCGAGTCAGAGTTTACTGCAGTCGAACACGTACTAACAAGAAAATAAGACAATTTTTCACACTATAAAAATGACATCTTATATATGTAGGGATCCACTGTTCAAGAGAACTTCTCTACCAAAAGAAGAGCTGGAATCTACACTTACGATTGCATTGCTGCAAATTCACAAATTCACATCTCTTTCCTTTCTCTCTCCCTCCCTCCCTTCCTCTCTCCTCCCTCACTTACAGCTCCTTCCTCCATCTTTGCTCCCAGCTGGGTGTTGAGCTTCTTTATCTCGTCACTCGGACCGACAATGATTGAGGTACCGGTATCAGCAATGGCATTACAGCCTCCAGAGCAGTAGGGTGAACTCTGCTGGTTGATTGTGATCCTGTGTTTCAGACGCACACCGAGAATTACTAAGTTTTTGTAGTGGAAATGAAAAATTTACAGTGACCTCTCTCTAAGGACACTCCTGAAATGAGGACACCTCTCTAATAAGGACACTTTTTCCTTCCCAAAGAACAGTTCTTGCATGCAATAACCTCCGAAATAAGGACACCTCACTAATACGGACACTTTCTTCTGTCCCATTGGTGTCTAGAAAAGAGGGGTTCCACTGTATATATCATCAAAAATTTCTTACCCTCCCATTTTGAACTGCCAGTATGTTTCCTCAGAGAGTGGCACGTACTCCAGTGACCCAATATAGTGGGTGGGGTCAGTCCCGCCCAGAATGAGCTCGCCACCCAGTTCACCTGTTTCATCATCCCTGTTGGTTTGGATACTGCAGTAATCTATCAGGATTCTCTTGTAATCTTTAGTAATCTTCTACGATACTCTTGTAATCTCTAGTAATCCCTTTATAATCTCATGTAATCTCCCAGGATACTCTTGTAATCTCTCTAGAATACAATCTCTAGTATACAGGTTAAAAACTGGTCAAACCTGTCAAGATAGAAACCGAAAACCGGTTTTGCGACGAGACCCTGGGCCACCATGTTCTGAAAGACTGGCGCCACCTTGTCGACAGCTATAGCTGGCCACCCCATGCCCAAGAATGCCGTCAAATTTATCATCAATGAACGTACTGCCTGCAATGATTAAAAAAATTGAACAGGCACGTGTATTTTTAATGGGCAAATCTATCCAAATTTTCACGTGGAATCAAAAATTATCCTCCAAAACTTTACCTGGCTGTTTGGTAGCTTCGCCAAAGATCTGATTTTTAACCTTTATTCCAGAAATCTACATAACAAAGAAAACGAATATGTGTACATAGGGGCTTAACACAAGGAAAAGTGTATGGGGGGGCATTAATAAGAAACACACGTTCACTAATGCGAAAACCTTATAAAAAACATGACTGTGTGTATAATGATCACAGGGAATAAGTGTATGGGGGGGGGCATTAATAAGAAACACACGTGAACAAATGAAGAAGCCTTACAGTCACTGTGTCCTGACTGAGGAAGCCACTGAGACTTCCTGTTCCGTATTGAATCGAGAATTTCTCCCCGTTTTTGACGTAGGTGCTCGATCTGTTGTGGTAGTACTTGTGGTGAATCTCTGCAGAAGTGATACATACAGACGAAAATATTTTCCCACTAAAAAAGTACGGATGAAAAACCAACAAACAATGACAATACTTTCAAGTGAAGGTATATATACATCAGAAAGACGAGTTTTTCCCCAAAACTTCAAAAGAACCAACATATTATACATCTTCGTCTAAGAATACTGCAAAAAACAACATTTTCCCTTTCTCTTAAGGCACTACTACATAAGGGTTAAATACAGAAATGTATATACTAAAGATTGTAACTAGAATTACAGTAATATCTCTAAACTTAGCCTTTATATCTACAGTCCTATACATTTTTACATCCCCACTTACGGCATGCTCTATCAGAAGGATCGCACTCTGCAGAGGGGACCCACAGATTTGAGGACCCAGTGTCAAAGATGACGGTGAAGTTCTGCACTGGAGTTCCAATTGATATGTTCCCATAATAGTAGAGCTACGGAAGGTATAATATACCAGTAATCTATCAGGATACTCTCGTAACAAGATCATTATTTTACAACCCAAAAACAATCAATTCCCAGTGGTCTACACGTGTCTGTGTGTCATGTTATTTTGGATAGCGAGGTCTAGACCTTTTCATTTGGGACCCCGGGATAGTGCGTAACAGAAAACAAGCACACTTACCCAGTAGGGAAAAGTATATTCTGATAGCCAATCCTCCAAACAAAACGGAACAGTTAGCTAAAAGGAACGCTGGTGTTATACAAGCACGAGGTACAGTTTCAACTTCAGTAAAAGCACAGAAGCCCGTTATTGTTAACTCTAGGCATCAGCTTCAAAAACACACAAATGAGAAAGATTCAACAGTAAAATTGCGTGTTTTACAAGCAAAAGAATAGTTCTGCCGTAAACCTACGTCTTGGTAGTTAGTCAGGGGTTCGGGCGAGTCTTTCAGCGAGCGAAGTTTGTCCAGACCTAGCTCGTAGCGCCATTTGGTGAACTGGAGAGAGCGCGAGAATTGCTGGACGTCTTGGAGACGGCCTCGCTTCTGGAGAGGGATTCTGCGGGTGAGAGAGAAGGGAGGGAGAGAGAAAGCGAAGTGGTTGCGCACGCACCAGCTAACTGCAGAAAAGGCTGCGCGCAAAACAAGCAACAAGCAACAAACCAACCTGGTAACATGGCAGAAGGTCTGAACAGTGCAGACAACCAGAACGAGCAGAATGGAAAGACGCATACTTCCTCGCTTCCCCTTGGCTGGACTAAAAGTTACAGTCTGCAGCTATAGCAAAGAAACGACACCACGCGCGTGCTCACCCGTTTTTATCGAGCGGCTTTTGGATGTGCGCATGCGCAATATGCGGCGGACTGAAACCACACAAAGAGCACAACAATAAAATCCATATCAGTTCATGTATGTAATATACACAGCAGTAGTACATATCAGTGTCACGTGGCTTTAGCTAACAGTTATTTAGAGGGAGCAAATCCAACTCGTTTGTTTTGGAGGTCAAATTCGGTGTAGAATGTTCCAATAAATACGTCACCTAGGATCCAGAGAGGACCAACCTGGACAGTTAGAGGGAGAGAGGAGAGAGGGAGGGGGAGAGAGAGAGAGAGAGAGGGAGGGGGGAGAGAGGGAAAAGAGAAAAAGACGTGTCCCCATTCGTTTAACTACAAAATATACAATTCCACAAAACAACTTACATCAGGTGGTAGATCGATGCCTATGAATCCACTAAGACATAGCGATTCAGTTCCCTCTTGTACCTGAAGATGAAAGAAGAGCTCGAAAATGGAAAACTTCGTCGTTTTTTTCGCCCTCACCTTCAAAACATATTCATTGGGTGTTAGTTCAAATGTATCTCCGTTTATGACGAATGCAACATTTGGAAGTTTGGAGAGTTCGTCACAAGTAAAGACCCACTGTAATTATAGCAGGGAGAGAGGGAGAAGAGAGGGAGAAGAGAGGGAGAGCAGGTGAAAGAGGCAAATTAAAAATGTGTGTGTGTGTGTGGGGGGGGGTTAATGGTGGTCTCCTGTACCTGTCTATATGTGCATGGTAAAAGTCATTCGCATGTGTAATTACGTCCATAGTTGCAAAAACACATTGAAAATGAACTGTGCTCTATTATACCTGTACCCGTGGTAAACCCTATATTTAGTTCACCTCGTGCACGATAGGAATTTCAAAAGCCCCGAGCTGTTTGTTCAACTCTGTGACCATGTCGGCTGGCCCGGCAAGCAGGGAGGTGCCGGTGTCAGCAATGGCATTGCAGTTCTCGCAATAGTTGCTTTTCTTCCCTCCAACCAAGATCCTGTGCACAAGAAAGACAAAATCACACATAAAGTCACTTCTAGCTGCACGCCAGCATAAACACAAGCAATGAAAATATTTCACATTCATGAACCATTTGCACAACACTTTGTAGAACATCCTTTTATAGATTTTATTCACCCATCAAGCAAGGCTGGTGCAAGCAAGGATTAATCATGAATAATAGCAAGGATTAAACAGAATAATAATGTTAATTTGCAACAACAGGATTGTTCGAATCTTACGAGTCCATTTTGAACTCCCAGTAGGTCTCGCTGCTGAGGGGAACGTAAGTGAGGTTCCCTGAGTAGTGGTTGGGGTCCGTGCCTCCTAGCAACAGCTCCCCGCCTTCTTTACCAGACTCATCTCTAAGAGAGAGAGAGAAGAAGGAGAGAGAGAGAGAGAAGAAGGAGAGAGAGAGAGAGAGAGAGAAGAAGGAGAGAGAGAGAGAGAGAAGAAGGGAGAGAGAGAGGGAGTAGTAAAAAAAAGTGAGGAGAGAAAGAGGATGAATTATTAATAAGACAGCTTAGGTAAACATCCGTTTTACGCTATATTATGTAAAGCATGCGGAGACATGATTACAATGTGTGATATTATATACATTATCTTTGTACTATATACATGATGTGTCTATAGCAAGGTATGATAGTAAGGCAAAGGCAAAGCAAACAAGTTAAGTATACCCAGGACAACTCTTTCCCACATGCATGCACAAGTAAGCTGTATTCAGGTCTACAATAGGATCAATAGACAGGGAGGGAAGGGGGAGGGAGAAATAACGGTAGATACAATAGAATGAAGGATGGAGGAGGAGCAAAGGAGGGCGGGGCGAATGGAGGGTGAAAGGAGGTAGAAAGGAGCGAGAAAGGAGGGAGAAGGAGGGAGAAGGAGGGAGAAAGGAGGGAGAAGGAGGGAGCGGGTATATACGAGCTGGTGCTAACCTGTCAAGCCAGAAAGCAAAGATGGCAGATTTCACAACTCCTTCGTCTACCATCTTCTGAAAGACGGGTTCCACTTTGTCCACTGAAATGGACGGCCATGCCATTCCCAGAATTCCGTCAAACTTTGCCGCAATGAATGTTATTCCTGGTTGGTGTGTGGCTTCAGCAAACGTCTGACCTTTCACCGTCAACCCTGCAACCTTTAAAAAAACAAACACATAATAGTTGGATATTATTGTGCTTAGTTTGGTAGAAAGTGTTAGTAATGAAGTGGAACTCCTCTCTAAGGACACCCCTGAAATGAGGACACCTCTCTAATAAGGACACCTTTTCTTTCCCCCAAGAACAGTTCTTGCATGCAACTCAACCCCTGAAATAAGGACACCTCTCTACTTTTCTTTCCCCAAGAACAGTTCTTGTCCCTAAATTAGGACACATCACTAATTAGCTTGGAAACTGTAACTAAACAGACATGTTAAGTGTTTGGGTGACACCTACCGTGACATCATCTTCACTCAAAAATCCTTTCAAGGCACCTGTGCCATAGCGAATTGAGAACGACGTTCCATTCTTCTTGTAGGTTGAAGACTTGCTGTGATCGTATTTGTGATGAAAACCTTCGGGGAGGGAGGGAGGAGAGGGATGGGGTGAGAAAGAGAGAGGCAGAAAAAGCAAAGAGAACACAAGCGTACTGTAATTGATATGCAAACAGTGGACACTCACAGACAGAACAAATGGTTAAAACTGTCATACACCTTAAAATCTTCAGTCATGTGTTATGATTCTTACATGTTTTTTTAACTATTCGGTATTCTCACTTCGTCTGTATAAGTTGCATGCAATAAACATATACATTAACAAACCCATGCATTGAAAGTTGCATCAAATTTGCTACAAAAAACAGCAAATTGCACAGCATTACGTTTAGCCATTACAACGGTATACTTACGACAGGCAATGTCAAGTGGAGAGCATTCGCTGGAAGGAACCCAGAGATTGGACGATCCGGTGTCGAAAACAACTCTAAACTCTTGTGGAGGCGTTCCTATGGTGATGTTACCATAGTACTGCGCCTGGAAGAGAGCAGAGAGTACAAGAAAGGTTACCTCGTGATGATGGTGGGCATAGTAACAAAAGTCAGGTGATCCACCACTATAAAAGATTTTGCTGACACTATTAGTTTTAATTGGCCATATCACACACTGGTCTGAGCAATGATCTCACAGCACATGACAGACATGCATTTTGTGGTCAGGTGCTGTATTTTTGTGCATGTCAAGTTGCAAGTAGATCCATTAGCTGGTTACAATCTTACGAGAAATATGCACATATTTACAGACAAGAGACATCACTTTTGCTTCACAATCACTCAATCTTTGGTTCTAAAACTATGCACACGCACGATGCAGTGCTGACATCTCTAGCTAGGTTTGGGGCCCTTCAATGTTTTTACTAGCTAGCATAGCTAGAACCATTAGCACCACCTTTGGAAAATACCAAGCCACTATAAACATTCAAACATTCAGCTACAGTGTAAGAAACGTACGTCTAGATAGTCTGTAAGCGGTTCGGGCGCAGACCCCAGTTTCCTGGGCTGTTCTCTGGAATATTTCTCCCGCAGCAGTTGCCTGGTGCACCGCATCATCACCACGTCACTCACGGAGCGCTCGATGCGATGCAAGGGTACCCTATAGTGGGAGGAAAAGGAGAAAGTAAGAAGTTTAGCTAGACGTTTTTAGAAGTATAGATACGAGAGAGATTTACCGCACGAGAGCGTTGCAGCTCAAAGCCAAGACCGTAAAGATAAGTGCTACAGTTGCAGCCTTCATTTTGACCCAAAGGTTCTCCGGGAGTTGTCAAAGTAAAGGGAAACGTCTTTGAAGCTTGCTAGACTCGCACGCTAGAGTGTGCGCATGCGCTTGTTGCGAGTCATGTGATTCGAATTAACGCCGACTCTAATTTAACGAAAACCGCGACGAGTTTTTGAGGAATATTGAAACGGACACGTTTCGCGCTCGACATGCTAGGTTTCTCCCTACTTCCCCGGCTTCACGCTGGTTTCTAGGCACTCAGAGACGGGCGTAACTCGTTACAGGTAGCAGAGAATGGGTGAGTCCTATCAATTCTACAGCCCGTAGAAAATTTCAATGCTACCCGTGATTTTTATGCCTGTAGGTAGCTTTTTGTCGAGCCTATTTTCGAGTCTGTGGGGCTCCAAGGAGCTGCGGGTACTGATTCTGGGACTGGACGGGGCCGGCAAGACAACTATTCTCTACAGACTACAAGTTGGAGAAGTCGTCACCACGATACCCAGTGAGTTCTTTTCACTGAACCATCTCTCTAAGGACACCCTTGAAATGAGGACACCTCTCTAATAAGGACACCTTTTCTTTCCCCAAGAACAGTTCTTGTGTGCAATTCAACCCCTGAAATAAGGAAACCTCAGTACACTAACGGACAATACCATTGGTGTTTTGATAAGACAGGTTCTGTACTCCGTCCTTAGGTTTGTCTGTAACTGTTGTTTTCTCTTTCTCCTCCCTCCTCCCTTCTTCCCCTCTCACCCTCTCCAGCTATCGGATTCAACGTTGAAACTGTCACGTACAAAAACCTCAAATTCCAAGGTTTACAATCACCACATACCGTAGCTCTGAGTCTCATTCCCATGTTTCTATTCCCCCAGTCTGGGACCTCGGGGGTCAGACCAGTATAAGACCTTACTGGAGATGTTACTATGCCAACACTGACGCCATAATCTATGTCGTGGACAGTGCCGACCGCGACAGATTAGCCATTTCGAAATCTGAACTGGTATCTATGCTTGAGGTACACACTTTTATTAACCATAGTTACTGTGTATGCCATGGGTTATTTATTATGATGGGGCTTTACTCGTTAACTATTAGTTGATGAGTAAAGCCCTATCAATAACTAGTTTTTACCAAAATATTTTGCAGGAAGAAGAGCTGAGGACTGCCTTGCTGATGGTGTTTGCAAATAAACAGGTGAATCACTTTACTCTTTGAAATTGAAGCTAACCACGCCACATTTTCTTACCCATTTCTTCTCTCCTCTTCTCCTCTTATTTAAAACAAAACTTGCCTTTTCTTGCCCTCTCTTTGTTTTCTATTCTATTCTACCCCAAGGACATGGAGGGTGCAATGACACCGTCAGAGATCTCCAGTGCTCTCGGCCTCTCTGCTCTCAAGAGCAGGACCTGGGCCATCTTCAAGACGTCGGCAATCAAGGGAGAGGGACTGGAAGACGCTATGGAGTGGTATATAAGAGTCTTTCTTTTGAACTTGTGTATAATTATATACTTGCAAAAGCCCCGAAAAAGAATCTTTCGTACCTCATAAAGGAAACTTGGTGGTTCTGCCCCATATCACTAAGTGCGGTAGTACTTAGTATAATATAGGGATGACACAGGTAGTCCTGCATTATGCCCATACATTTGAGATTCTCAGTTTCTTATACTATTGGTGCATTTACTACCTCCAAATAAGGGACACATCTAAACCTTCCATCTCCCCAAGGTGTCCCTTATTTAGATTTTTTTAAAACTATCTGCAGGATTTTCACACAATCGTTTCTCTTCTCTCCCATCTTTTTCCTCATCTCTCTCCCTTCCTCTCCCCTCCTCCCATTACTCTGTAGGTTAGTAAATTCACTCAAAGGCACGACATCATGAAAAAAAGGCACCGCTTCAACATTTATTTTGATTTTTCGTTTCACTCGGTAACGTGACAACGTCATGCTGAATTTTTGATTATATATACCACCTTTCTCTTTTCAATAAATCTTTGTACATGCAACATCTAACTTATCACTGTTTTTCACAAGCTAAGAAATTCCCATATTATTATATACAATCTCTGAAACGACCTAATGTTTTCGTAAACTTCACAATTCCCAATGACGTAATGATGACATCACCAATCACCAATCGGAATCGATACCAAGTAGTTGGCAGCTGAGGTCCCAGAGTCGAAGACAGTCATCATCGTTCATGGAGCGTGCAGAGCTTTTATTCACGGCACAGCTGTCCCAATATTTGCCTGGAGCAAAGCAGCATGTTGTCTTCAATCAAAACCGTCACTCAATTAAAGTTTTGAGCGGTTTGCATAGCAGCCAAAAAAATCATTAATCGGAACACTGTGGGAAAATTAGCAAGAATATGGGGTCTCAGGCTCCAGCACATGAATTTGCTGGCATGCCTTATTTTTACACGAATTCACCTGATATTCCCTCCACCTCTTTGGCCACTGCACAGTGGATCGATGTCTGCGCTCCTTGCTTAGCAGTCTTCGTAAACAACCACATCGCTACACGAACCAACGGCTGAAAAGAGATAACATACAGGCGGAACTCCTCTAACCAGGACACCAATGAGACAGAAGAAAGTGTCAATATTAGTGAGGTGTCCTTATTTCAGAGATTGCAAGAACTGTTCTTGGGGGAAGAAAAGGTGTCCTTATTAGAGAGGTGTCCTCATTTCAGGAGTGTCTTTAGAGAGGTGTTGCACTGTAGTACATAACAAAGGTCTCAAGAATACTTAATCGCTTGAAAAGGTTTTGATGGCCTAAAGTACTGAAGTATTATTCTGTATACTAAATTGAGAGGGTATTATACTTACAATGAGAGGGGCGAGGTAACCAGTGAGTAAATGGCGACCGAGTTCAGTGTAGATTGCACCGGGGTGGAGGGAGAAAACGGTTACATCACTTCCCGAGAGCCGTTTGGCGAGCTCTCGGGTAAACATAACGTTAGCCAGCTTGCTCCTAGTGTACGCCAAGCCGGAGCTATACCTTTCTTCCACAGCATGTCGTCGAAAATCCAGCGAACCATATTGATGTCCAAAAGACGCTACATTGATAATTCGACTAGGGGCCGACTCCTTGATGCGATCCAGTAGCAGATAAGTAAGAAGAACGTGGCCCAAATGGTTGACGCCAAATTGTGATTCGAATCCGTCCTCAGTGAGTTGGTAAGGCACCATCATTATCCCGGCATTGTTGATGAGAATGTTTATCTCTTTTTCTTCAGTTAGGATTCGCTCGGCAAAACTGCGGATTGATTTGCAGGAGGCTAAGTCAAGCTGACGAAAGAAGACGTTTTCTCTGCCACTCTTTTCGCGGATCTCAGAGCAAGCTTTCTCTCCTCGCTGGACATTGCGACACCCCAGAATTATCCTTCCACCTCGACTGCAATAGTTTAGGAGAGAAGGGAGTTAGGTAATGAATACGTACGCACATAAAAGGAGCTTGTTAGGCAATTATCTTTGACCTTACAACATCATTTTTACCATACATTCCACGCAATGGTAAGTACTGAGCTAACCTTGCCAGGTCGATGGCCGTCTCTTTGCCTATTCCAGTGTTGGCTCCTGTGATTACGACTGTCTTCCCGTCCAGCCTGGCCTTACTCTTACACGCAGCTCCATTCACAAAGAAGACCTATAGGTACACAAGACGCATTCTTTAGTGGGCGTGGCTGCACACGAGGGCCTCACTGCCGCCCTAGGCGAGTAACCTACGTGTGTGTGTCGGTCAACTAGAACTAAAAAAACTTACCCTGAACATCCAGTATCCAGCTGCGACCAGTGGTATCCCCAAAGCGAAGTAAACAGAGGACGAGAGAAAAGCCATACGTACTGCACTGCCGCAATTAAGCGCTTGACCTCGTTTGCGTAAAATTAGTGTTAGGAGCGGGGACATGCGCAGTGGGCCCGGAAATTCCAGCGGCTAAGGGGGCGGGCGGCGGCCGCGCCGGGTGGGTGTCCGGTGTGACTAGACTGTACCGCCTATGGTGTCAGTCCCCACGACTCTAACCACCTAGCCACTCGGGCTGGCCTGGAAATGTGATGAGTAACCTACGTGTGTGTGTCGGTCAACTAGAATTAAAAACTTACCCTAAACATCCAGTATCCAGCTGCGATCAGTGGTATCCCCAAAGCGAAGTAAACAACCGAGAACGCCATCGCCGCAAGCGCCCGACCTGCGCATGCTCGTTTGCGTAAACAGTACTTACTAGTCCGTCCGCCTGTCCGTCCGTCCACGTTTTCTGCCACCACGCGCGACAAACAGGTAAAATAGCGACACCAACGTGTTCAGCGCTACACCCGCTTCATTTTTAAAATGGCGATTTTTGTAAAAGTGCCGCGTTCAGAAGTTATGGCATGAAAACCAAGTGAACAAGCCAATTTGCAAATTAGCACAGGCTTACCTCGACCGGGTCCGCTTGCTCTGTGTACCTTGGAGGCACAAGAAGCCACAACGAAGTGCGTGTATCGACTCCCGCATGCTATCTACTACTGTGGCTAGTCCGCGGGAGACCACGAGTAATATATACTACAAATAGCCCAGCCCATCAATTAGCGGTACCGCGCATGCGCAGTTCGCCGATGGTTTAATAATGCAGCAGCAATGCGACGAAACGTCATGATACGTCACCTACTACACTTTACTCACACAGCCACGCCTCCGGGCCGTGCCGCGAGAGCTAGCTCTCAGGGAAAATCCCGCCCATGCAACAACAACCTAGCCGGATTTTCCCTACCGCGACCGGGCGGCGGGATGCGCGGAGTATAAAAGATGAGCACAGCTACAGCTCAATTAGTAGACACTTCTTCCACGTGCGGTCTGGAAGAAAAATGGTTTGGAAAATAACCCATGATTCTTGCAGCACCGCGCCAGTGGCAGACCTTGCGCACGAGAACAGAAGAGGTGATGAGACGAAGGAGATAGTTAGGTTTGTATTGCCATCAATCAGGTAAGCTTTCTCTTACAATACATCCTTGGATAACTGTTTCTCTGTACTCATAGACCAGAACATATTAGCGACGATCACTCGGGATGGACGGCATGGGTTCAACTAAGGTAGTGTGGCTTTTGGTTACATAAATCGTTGCAGATACTGCTATGTCTTCCATGATCCAGGGGGTCACGATTTTCTTCACTGTCTTCATGTACGTATCTACATTGTTTTGTGTATATGAGAGGAAACTGAGTGAGGCTGAAGCAGCAGTAGAACGACAGAAGGAAAAGCTGCTGAAGCTGGTGGAAATGGTCAACGCACTGAAAGAAAAGAACAAGGAAAATGAAAGGCGAGTTGAGATGCAGCAGCATGAACTCCTGGAGCAGGAAACCATTCTCCGTGAACTATACACTGCACTACAAATGAAAAACGATCCTTCGTTGCTTCCCTCTGTCCACCTTTTGCAAAGAAAGGACATCCCAAAGGAATTTTGGCTGTTTCGCAAGCACCAAAGGAATCTCATGCGCATCACAGAACCGTACATTAATCAGGTCATCGAAGCTTCCGTCGAGGCGGATATTGTACCCAGCACGTTGTTGAAGAAAGTTCTGAAACCTGCTCCAGCCCTGACCAGCGCTGCTCAGTATTTTACAAAGCCCTCCAAATGAGGATCAGCGAATCACCAGACACCTTTGCCACTTTTCTGCGAATACTTCAACAACAAATGAGAGACTCAAAACCACATCATTCTAGTCTGTGTAGCAAAATACTAGCTGAGCTCAATACAATTTGAAAATATCCTTTTTTTGTATAGTATGCGAGTTTTGTCTTCAGCTCTGACAAAAAGTTTTTGTGGACCTGTAACTACTTAACGAAGTTTGCATACATGAAATTTTGCAATACCCTAAATGAGTCAGTATTATTGAAATCCCACATAATATAGGCCTAAAGCACTCTGGTTATTTTGAAATTGATGTGACCTTACCTAGTGTATATATAAGGTAATAAGTAGTCGAGACTTATCATTGAGTCAGCTAGCTGCCATACATGGTGTACAGACGAAAATATTCTTGGTCAGCGTTTTTATCATCTGACTTATAATTCCTGTCCCTCTACCAAGGAGGATATACGAAATGATCGAAAAGGGCTCTGAGTAATTCACTGCAGTGTAGAATGTGAACATAATCTGTCACTATGAGCGATTTATCTGTGATATTCAGCATTTGAACCATATAGGACTGAGTGACTCTGCAGGTGAACAGTTATGCTCATGTGTATATACAGTCACACAAATTCCTTATGTGACACATACTCACTACTGCTCATGTGTACCATCAGTCAAACAAATTCCTTATGTAACACACACTCACTACTGCTCATGTGTACTATCAGTCACACAAATTCCTACTGATGTGGTATGATACTCACTACTGCATTGAGGCTGAGATGCCCCAAATTCTTAGAAATGTTCACACACACACAAGGTAGCTTACACGAGCATACTCCTAAGAATCCCACAGAGGATAACATTAAGGGCACAGCTGTGCTATCTCACTACCGACACAACAGTCACCTGCCATAGTTCTGGGGTGGGAAAATGCTGTTTGTGTGCTCGAGGGACTAACCCAGGGGAACACCCTGAATACCAAAAGTGCATTGAGATAGCAATTCCTTTCCTAATGGGGATGTTGTAAACATGTTTGTGAGTAGAGGAGGTCACGTTCGTTACACCCTCGGACGGAAAACCCCTGGGATCGTCCCCAAAATTCTCCCGCGGTATAATATACCTCGCGCGACAACCCACAGGAAGTCTATTTTTCGTTAATAGCGGATCTCACGTGATCCTCATATATATAATGGCCAGGTCCAAATTGGTTTTTCTTTGCTTTAGTGGTAGAAAAAATGCCTGGGCTCACTCACTGCCATTGTATCGAGGACGAAAAACGATTTCGCTGCGAGTTATGTGGTTTGATCTATCGTGAACCTGTCCAGAATATAAAGACGGGAAAATGCTTTTGCAAATCTTGCGTCAGTAACGAGTGAGTTAGCTAGTTATGCATAATGGTTATTACTCAGCTACTATAAGTATACCCATTGCAAAAGTGTTTTCCGTTATTTCTAGGATGAATTTTTAACTATGCATGCGGTGCCCGGTTTTCGGCCAAATTTGCAGAGATACTGCCGACTACCGCCAAGACAATGCCGTATGGAAGGAAATGAAGTGTTGGACCGTTCATTGCGAAGTTTGCGGTTGGCAAGGAAGACTTGAAAAATTCGAAGTGAGTAGCTTCAAATATTCCTCCTAAATTATTATTCTACTGTGCGTCGTGTACGTCGGCAGCCCTCTCCGCCGTCGCCTATTGCCCCCTGGTCGTCATGCACACACACTGCATGTTACGAAACGGAATAAATTGCGTGTGAGGGGCTTGTCATGTAGCGCACGGACAACCAAAAACATGGCCTGCTGACGATGCAATATTATATAGGCAGTAATATGGGAGAGGGGGTATGTTTCTTCCTTTTCAAGCCTTCCGAACATGAGACTCTAACCTGGTTGTTTTACTGCCGCCTTTTAACTGCCAATCCTAGATGCTGAGGAAGTGGCTGGCCTCTGAAAATAATCAATGTCAGATCACCACTTCCCAGTGACCACCATGCATATAATTGCACAGTTAAATGACTGCTCTCTAATAATTTTGCACCTTTGCCTTATTGTTGTGGCCAATTTGCAAAATGTGTCCGCCTTATAATAATAAATTATAATTATTGTCACTGTTAATTCGCACATGTGTGCATGACATGGGGTGAGAAAGTGTGCAAAGTGGTTGCCTCTTCCCACTAAATCACCCCCAGAACATGGACACATGTGCTACCTGACCCACACCATCACTACATAAAATGTATACTAATGCTGATAGTAGCTGTATGAATTATTCTAGAGTCATTTGTGTCCATTAAAAACGGACGTTTTTCAAGAGAACATCTACCTCAAGGGGAGATTAGCAGTTGAAGAGCAAAAAAAATTTAATCTCCTGCAACAGATGGCAAAATTAGAAGAAAAGCTTCTTGTTCTTGAGGTAAGCCAGAGAACACATGCAATATTATTGTGGTAGTGTAGTGGATTTTTCTCTTTTAGGGTACAAAAATCAACATTGACGACCTTGAACTGGATCTTCCAACAGCAGATACCTTTAATATTGAGGTATTATGTGTGTGTATCTGCAACTTTAATTAAAGCCTGTCTCTGTATAATATTATTCAGGAGTATTATCAATTATTGTGTTGCTGTCTTTATGAGGACAGCTCCCTAAACATCCCTGAGCAATTACGTCCTTAGAGGACTATTGGCAGTTTGTTTAATGTTTCTTTTATCTTTTTTTAGAATTATCATGTCTCGAAGACTGAAAAGGAGAAACTCACGGGGAAACATGTAGAGCCCATACCAAGTCCTGACTTGAAGAGCTGTGACTTTGAAACAATTGCTGGCACCTTAGAGGAATCTGTCTCGGATTTAAGCGAAGGGCAGAAGAAAATTGAAGTGGCACTCGATGAAGGAGGGATGAAACTAGCGCTAAACGCTAAACGCGCTGAAGTCCTCGCTCAGAAACGTGCACTTGAAAGTGAACTGAATTTCTCGGAGGAAACAACTAAGAGCACTTCAGGTGATTTCAGCGTATTTTCAACTGGTGCTGGTCCTCCACCGAATGGGTCTGGGATGCAATGTCGCTGGAGAGTAAATGTAGTTGAAGCACTCGAAAATGCGAAAAAGTATCCCAATCTACCGCTTGTCAGCCCCGTTTGGCCAACGCACCCCTGTGGCTACTGCGTTCGAGCCTACCTCTACTTCAACGGACATCCAGAGAGCGGTGGGTCCCACGTTTCGATTTTCATGAGACCCGTACATGGAGCCTATGACGGGCTTTTGAAATGGCCACTGGATGCCACACTCACGTTCTGCATTCTCGATCTTCTGGGGAAAAATGCTCGACCGTGGATAAAAAACTGCCGCTCCGACCCTGACTCACCCTGCTTCAAACAACGACCACCACCCCCCTCCGAATCATCCCCTGACATGAATGCTGCATCTGGCCTACTTGACTTCATTCCAATCGATACACTGAAAAAATATACAAAAGACCAGACAATTATGTTGGAAATGTCTATGAAACCAAAGCGATAATTATTTTTGTAAATTTTTAACTTTTTTTTTCCGTCTATTTTTCTGTGTATAAAACTTATTTTCACTTATTTAAGAAATGGTATTCAACAGAGAAACTATAAAACGTACAGTGGGCAATCTAAAAGTGTCTTCCTACAATAAAAAGTAGCCTTAGTCAAGTGTGGTTTGTAAGTCCAAGTCTGTATAATTATAGTATAATGCAGCAGAAGCAGTGTGTCAGCTATTTTCTCCCGGCCCAGTCGAGGATGACACCTTTTCCAACCTTCCTGAAGGCAGTTGAACTGGCTCCACTCTCACACAATAGGACACCTGTTGAGGGGCATTAATTAGAGAGGAAAATTACATTCATTGACAACTAAACAGCAAAACTGCAATGTAACCTGAGATGATAGTGTATTTCAAAGGGAGTGTGGTAGTAAAAGGAACGGGGGCATAATTAATGCCACACTCACTTCATCTGTGCTTATGTGCCTTTCTAGGGACTGACACTAGTGTGACTTCTTACCTTCCTTGACGCCAGGCCCGGAGTAGTTAATCTGGTCCGTGACTTTGACGCGAAGTTCCTTCCTGTACTTGCGGTAGTACGTGAGCCAGATGGCAGCGACTAGCTCGGCAGCCGGCCGGCCATTCTCAATGTAGAACACGCAGTCTCCAATGTTTGGCTGAATAGGAGAGAATTGGGGATACCTTGATAGCCTTCCCCTCCCAATGTGTAGCTACACTGTATTGTTCTTCTAAGATCAGGATACTTTCATAATAGATTAGGACACCTCTCTAATCAGGACACTTTCTTCTGAGATCAGGACACCACACTAACCAAGACACTTTCTTATGAGATCCTCACTAATCAGGACACTTTCTTCTGAGATCAGGACACCTCACTAATCAGGACACTTTGTTCTTAGATCAGGACACCTCTCACTAATCAGGACACTTTCTCCCCTCATTAGTGACCCAATTAGAGTACTTACAGCACAGTGTATGGCGAGAGCTTGGTCAGGGCCAGTTGAGAGGGATATTCCAAGAATGTCACCAATGTCAATTGGCGCCTTCTTCATGGTATAGTCGTCATAGAGACGGTAGAAGTGGAGGTCACACAGCACATATATCCTATTCAGAATTGAAAGGGTTTTAATTTAAAAATCTATTAAAGTCAATCCAGAGTGTGAAATCTGCCTTACCTGGTTGAGGATTTTAGGGAGCGGCTGAGTTTTGTGACTCTAGCGGAATAGAGTCGAGAGTTGTCCTTGTTCAAATCTTGGATGGCCGTCATCTGGAATATTAACACAAGATCAATAATCGCATGCTGACTCTCTTCTAGTTAAAAAATACTTTGCAATCTATTAAAGTGACTTACTGATCGTTTGTACATCTCGGCTTTCGTGTTGCGTTTGGGATCAGACAGTTCATCACCAAGCCAGCGATCCTGAAGTAAACGAACATGCAAATTAGTTTCTCTCATACAAAAGAACCCTATTATTGACGTAGTATGATAGCGAATCAGTAAAAATCCAAATTTGTGTAATAGGTACAGTACCTGGAATATCCATCGCTTTTTCCTCCCCTTGAGCAAAGTTTGTGCGATTGTCTTCAGACGAACCTCATACTGCGAAGAGAATATTGTATCGAGATAGTCGCAGTAAGGGAAGTGTTGGTTACCTGCTCAGCTGGTGTCAGTTGGAGAATCTTTTCCTTGGCCCACCAGTTGTGCTTCACCTTCTCCAACAGCCTATGGCCTCTCTGTCAGAAAGACAAACAGAAAACAGCTCAAACAGATATAATAGTTTTGTGGAAGACCTCAGACCCTCCCCTATATCTTTTCCATTTGCATTATTTAGTTAGTGTATTCCCTTCAGCACAGCCCTGTTGGGTTGAGGCACTGGCTTGTCTTTTCCAAAGTTGGCAACTTTTTGACTTCTTTGAACTCTTCGATCACTTGCTCCATCCACTTCCTGCCGCAGAAACGCCTGCAAGAAAAGTGTATACAGCTTCAGTAATACTCAGCCCTAACTTTCTTGTGTGTGCGTTTAGCCACTTTTCTACAGACAGCAGGATTGAAACAAAGTCCTGGTTTACGCTGCTCATATCTTATGTGTTTGCACCTAGTGGAAGGGTTTAGCATTCAGCAGGGAATTTTCTTCCACAACACAACTAGTCTAGTTCTCCAGTTACGGTATCGTGTGCAGCGAAAAAGCCTGAAGGAGATCATGACGCGTAGAAGGCCTCCTCATTCTCCGGGCGAGACTCCGGGCCATGAATCCCTTCCACCAGCGCGCCACTGTCAGACTCTAGAGAATCAGGAGAAATGAAACAAAATATTCTATTAGAGATCCACTGCATTATATTGTCGAGCAGAGCAAGCCTGCTTAGCAAATATCTCAGTACTGTTGCACATAGTATCTTTATGTGTTGATGCGTAACGTAAGTACAAAATGAGAAGGATTAGACTAACCACTCCTGGCATCCTCCTTTCTCTCTCCTCCTCGAGGTAATACACAGTCCGCGGTGTCTTGATAAATACCTTGGTCTTGCCGAAGCTGACCACTTGTCGAGGTGGTAGTGAGATATCATCTTCCTGCAAGCTTCCTCGTCGCTCCATGTGTACGTGGGCCAGGTCCCTCCCCATATCATCTTGTACCTGGTGGGAGTTAGAGCACAGTGAAAGAGTTAGCAAATGTCAACGGTGAAAGAAGAATGGGAAAAAGACAAGCGAAAAAAGCAGAGGCAAACACAAAAGTTAAAGAAAAAAGAACAGAAGGGAAGGAGAAAGAAAAAAAGACGCAATCCAGACTGACCTCTCTTTCATTATTATACCAAAAAGAACAGAGATAAAGATAAAGACACAACTGAGAGTGTTTTCTAGTATTCTACCTCTTCATGAAGCGGCTGTAGGGAAGTCTGAAAGGGGTACCCAGCTCTGCGTACCTTCATGTTCTCAACCAGTCCGAGGTAGCGGACCTACACCGGTAAACAAACCACCCTTCCACCGGTGTACATACAAAAACGTGCAACATTGTTGACACCCTTAGAGGTTTGGGGTGGATTAGCAAAGCGGAACAGCAAAAGAGGGATTGGTAAAGCTAGATAGGGAGAGGTCTAGAAAGAAAGTTTACAATACTATTCCATACTCGAATGATCGTGAAACTTATAAGGATAGTTGGCTCGTCTCTTCTTCAACCGGTGTTCCTACAAAAATTGCAATATCGTTGGCACCCTTATTAGATGTTAGGGGTTGATTGGTAAAAGGGGTGCCTACGATTTTGCATTTCTTATAGCAACACCGGTGGAGGAAGAGACGAGCCAACCACTCTTGCAAGTAGGACAATCATTGTAGTATGGAATAGTGCCATTAGAAACTTTCTGCCATTAAACCTAGAAACCTTCTGCTATGCATGTATTAGACATGGAACAGAAATGTAAAGTGAGGTGCCCTTATTTCAGGGGTGTACTTTGTAGGCGTATATACCTGGTTGACGCAAAGTTGATCGTCGAATTCTCGAGGCTCCTTGTTCAAATTTGGCATGATGCAACGGATATAGTGGGGCTCCTATAATACAGAGAGGCCAAAGATAGGGTCTTATGTGAAGATTGAATCACAGAAATGAGAATGAGTTGTGGGACTTACGTGTTTGTTAATCAACTCCACCAAATCCGCCATGTCGTTTTTGAAGTGCATCCCTGCCGTGATTGGCCGTTTCGTCATCTCGGTGATCGGATTGGCACCCTGTGAATCGAGCGAGAGAAGGGTTAATCGTAAAGTAGATCACGTGACTGTCATGTGACTGCTTGCCTCAGGGAACAGCTCTTTCAGAAGCTCCATCTCAGAATTATACAGCATCCTCTTCAGGTCTTGGAACTGGGTGTCCTAAAAAACAGAAGAATAGAAGAACGTTGATTCTGTTTCGTATGGTAAGGAGAACTCACCCTGTTTTTGTCCATGAACCCAACAATGGAGTAGGTGACGATGCCAGCATAGTGCTTGATCTACAAGAGCAGTGGAAATGAGCTAAATTAGTCATCTAAACGTTAAACAGTAGAACTGGGGTAATGTGAATGAATATTAACATATCATAGTACCCACATTTTGGATTACAAGGTATTGTGGCTGACCTGAAACTCCTCGTGGATCCTAAGGTTCTTGGCTTTGCTGTTGCCATTGCTGAGGTAGTAGGGGCTGTTCTTGAAGGTCTTGTCCATGTGGATCACCACCCTCTTGTCGTCCTCTGCCCCTGGTCTCAGACATTCCTCGTCAAGAATCACAAACATCCCCTGTGGCAAGGAGACACGTTAGAACAAACTATTCCTTCTCTTCTCTCAAATAATGCCCACCGTTTTTATCTACTTACTTTTTCCACACCCCTGCATTTTTACTTCTCTCAATTTTCACAAGAAATGCGATAGCTTTCTATTGTCCTATCCTCTCTCTTTTCTTTTTATCTTTTCTATCTTTTCTGACTACTCCACTACAAGTATAATATTTCTCCATCTCTGTCTATACCTCTGCTTTTTTTCTTTTTTTCCCTCTCTCTTCCTCACCTCGGGACTTTCGTCCATCATCTTGCAGATTGGCTCGTTGTTGAAGTAGTCAATGTGAATCCACTCGATGCCTTCGCTCGTGTACTCTGCCTGTTCTCGCCTCAGTACCAGCTCAACAAACAGTTGTTGGAGCTTCTCGTTGCAGTAGTTGATGCAAAACTGCTCAAAACTGCACAAAACAATCACAGAGATCAGCTAATATGTTGCATAGTATAATAATAGCAGATTTCTCGTTGGACCTATGACCTTATAGCTATTTTTTAATTCGTATTTTGTTTTTGTTTTGTTTTGCGTTTTTGTCTATTTTGTATTGCGTTCTTTGTTCCTTTCTTCCTTTTATTTATGGTTTCACTTTCTTCTCTCCTAAAAAAAATGTAAAAAAAAATTTCTTACCTGTTTACACCAAAGACTTCAAATCCGTAGATGTCAAGGACAGATATGACAGTGCTGGTCTCCTCCTCGTCCAAATGAGCTTCTACGTTCTCATTAATCTTCTTCACCACATGGACAAACAGCCTCTCGTATATTGCCTGCAATCCATAGCAGTGAAAATATACTCTATAGGAGCCTTAGTATTGCATTCACTGAGCTAGCAATCATAACTGAATATAGCAGTGGCTTGATAATGAGTGTGTCATAATAATTATATACTCCTATTAAGGGGCAGCGATATAGAAAGGGACAGCAAGATAGGGCGAGAGTTCTATCTGCGAAAGATGTAGCTAGTAGATGGAGAGAACGAGTGGTTACCTTGGCAAGGGCATCACGGGCATAGACAGCCTTGTCGACCTTGGTTTTTACCTCCACCACATCTCTCTTGGCTGCCACCACTCGCACAGTTAGGGCCTTCTCAATCTCTTCTTTTGGTGTCCCCAGCAAACCTGTGTGGATGGATTGAGCAAAGTGAACCCTTTGCTAACACTGCCTCTACACGTACACCGAGAAGTGTGTTAAGAATACTTTTGAAGATTGCTAAATAGCAGAGTGATCTCTATAGTCAACAGTTCTTTTGAGTATTGTGATGAGTGTTAGCAATAGATTTGTTACAACTACAGGTGCAACAAGACGATTCCGTCTGTCCAATAATGTAATAGAAAGAGTAAGTAAAGTAGAAGGTAGCAAGCTTATAGTTTTTGGAGATGTGCAACGTACGGGCGACGAGATGAGCAGTGGGCCTGTTGGCTACTTTGGAGCTCTCCCCGTCTCCTCCATCAACCAACTCCACGTTTCCGAGGTGAAGGATTGCTGCCTGCAACTTCTGAATGCTCTTGATCAGTTGACCTCCAAAGTTTAGCAACTGCACGATTTATGGAAAAGATTTGTGTAACACAAAAAGCTAAGATGATGATACCACGTATCCCGGTAACACACACACACATACATGTACACATGCGCACCAAGGTATAACTATAGCTACCCATAAATACTGACAGCTCAGAGCATAAGCAGAAGAATGAAGAAAGAGAGTTTGAAATCTTTCATACACGCACCCCCATTGTCCTCTGGACTTCGTTGTAGAGTTTCTTGTCATTTGGAATGCATTCACAGCTCTCTCCTCCCATCGAGAGGTAGTGATACTTGGTCGGGTCCTTTTGCAGGTCCAGTGCTTTCAACAGAGCAGAGTCTGCTCCGCTCAACAACTAAGAGATGAGACAGAGAATACAGATGTATATGTATGTGCACTTGGGGTATCCAGCTAGATTCTGACACATAATTCTACCACTGGAAATGCATTAGTCTCAGAGCACGTAAGCACAGAGATGGACCTGATAGAAGCAGTGGAAGGTTCTCTCTCCCTCTCCATGATGGACAACCCTGGCTTTCTCCAGAAGATATGTCCTGATGTGGCCCCCCTGAGCATCAAATCTGTGGTCATACCTGATGTCCATGTACTTCCCCTGATGAGAAAAAAAGGAAGAAAAGAGGGAAAAAGTAAAGGGAGGGAGAGAAGGAGGGAAAAAGGGAGGGAGAGAAGGAGGGGAAAAGGGAGGGGAGGTGAGAAGAGAGATTGATATTCATCTAAAGCGGTAATTACCTCGCATAATTGTATTCATGTGCTATTGGCTACTTTGTCACTTTGTAACCTCATTCTGTCTCGCCTCATGTTGAGGCTGGTAGATAAGTAGCTACTGGGGACTCACAAATCTGGATGAGTTGTCGTTTCTTGTCGTCTGGGCATTGCCGAATGCCTCCAGAACTGGATTTGACCGTATTAACAAGTTCTTGACACGATCAACGACTTGCACGTTTTGAGATACATTAGAGAGGTATCTGAGAAAATTTTAGGAGTTAAAAATTTACAGGAGTTATTTTTTTATAATACCTCATCACAATTTTTGATGCTTCGGTCTTTCCTGATCCACTTTCGCCTACAAAAAAAACAGTTTTTACACCATTTATCGTACTTTTTGCTTAGAACAGTCATATATACAAGAGAGAATTAGAGCTAAATATTCACTGACCGGAGATCAGAATGCAGAGTTGGTATGGAGACGCTGCATGTCGTGGAAAGCAGCATCAGCTATCGCAAAAATATGTGGTGGGCGTTCGTAGAATTCTTTGCCTCGATATTCCTCCACATATTCATCGTTGTAGATGTCAATGAAACGATATGGATTGACAGATACAACCACTTCGCCAATATTTGTGTAGATCTGTAGTGTGGGAATGAAATGGTTGATAAAGATAGATCAGTTTGCAATTTTTGAAACTCATTGGTTTGGGTAAGACACCCCAATATCAAATCCCCACGTGTCTTTTTGTTAGTGAATAACACTCATTACTAGTAATGAATATTAGAAGAAAGGGTGATTGGTATAGAAAAGTTGGGTGGGGTTTTTCAAACTAAGATTGGGTGTGGCACGAATCGTAAAGCACATGCCCTAAAACAACAGCATTTTAAAAAAAGAAGTACACCAACACAACACATCTTTGCTCTTTCAAGAAAATAGAAACTGCAACAATCTATTCTTGCAGAATGATAAGCAAGAGCAGTCCCTTACCTTTCCCTTCTCAAACCGCAACTCGAGGTTGGCCATGAATGCCGCCTCGTTGACCTTTTCCAGGAGGATGAAGTCAGGATGACCAAACTCAGCTGGTTCAGACAGAGCCATGGCTGCAAGTCCTGACTGGAGGTGGAGATAGATAGTTTTCCAGATTTTAGGGGCGGGGCTCCTATGCACTTACCACCACTCAGTTCGGCAATTTTGCTGCAGCCACAAAGAAGGCGGCGTTCTCCTCCGATATATTTTAGTGCCGAACAAGCCTTCTTTGCTCTGCTCGATCACAGGCGGAGCGAGCGGGAGACGACGAAAAAGAACGAGCAACGCCCAATTTCGCTGCAGGGCAGAGCACGCATGCGCGTGAAAAATTGCGCGCGAAACGGTTGCGCGCGCCGCCGATTTATGCGCGGGAAACTTCGAAGTTCTTCATCAGTTCTCTCTGGACCCTCGCGGCAGTTGAAATAGAAGAGGACCGATTCCCTTTGTTGCTAATAGCAGATGGTATGTCATAAAACTATAGTGTTTCTCAAGCTAGCCTAGTATTATCTGGAACTGGGTTTATTTGCTGGTCTGTAAAATGTAAATTCATGAACAATATAAACTGAAACACTTTACACCATGCATTATAATAGTGTCACATATTGTACTTGTATACATACTATTGATGCTGCTGCAGATTGGTGCAGCAGGTAATTGAGGTAATAGAGGAAGACAAGATGTCAGGAGAGTCTGAGAGTGACGATGGACTGTGTGACTATGAGAGACTGAGATTGGAGAACATTCGGAAGAACCATAGCATGCTACGCAGCCTAGGTTGGCCTCTCTCTCTCTCTCTCTCTCTCTCTCTCTCTCACACAAACCACTTCCCTTCCATTTCTCTCTCTTACCTTTTTCTCTATTGCAAACATATCTACACACGTAGTAGACATGCAGCGTTGATGCTTTATCTCCCCAACTTGCTTTAGCCCTGACTCATTGTTATTTCACTTTGTGTTATACAGTCCGCATTCCATGCATTAATATGTGGAGTGAGGTATCCAACTCATAGATTGGTGCTGTTTTGCAGGGTTGCCACTGCCTGCTAAGCCAAAGTTAGTTGCAGCCAGTAAGAGAGGGAGGGAGGAGAGGGAGAGGGAAGAAGGGGAAGAAGAGGAAGAAGGCGTGTAGTGACTCTGACAGCAGTTTTCGAGTGTGATAGTGAGAGCAGCGAAGACGAGTGGCAACCTTGGAAAGACGAGACTAAGAAAAAGCCGCGAGGCAAAAGTAAGTGATAGCTACATGAGACACGGGCGCGCGTAGACACAAATCAATGTGGGGGGGGGCTTGCGGTGCGCACGCGCATAATCATAGTTTTGCGCTGCGCAAGTTCGCGCCAGCGCACGCCTGTAATTAACCACAGCGCCTACGCCCTTGCATGACTTTGCAAAGTAAAACTATAACTCCTAGATTACGTAAAATACACATCCTCTGCTTAGACTTGTGGGTTCGAATCCCACCCAGGGCAGCTCCTCTTTCCTTGGAAAAGTCTTTTTCCTCAGTGCCGTTTGCTTTGCATTTGCAGACCTCACTTATGATCACTCACATGCAGTTGATAACAATGTGTGCCTAGAACTGAAATGTCCAAAATATTTCTCATTACAATTCTTTTGTTGTATTTCTCCAACAGCTGTGGTAAAATTGCTCCACTGGATGCCAAGTCTCAAACAACAGATATTCAACACAGCCAAAACTCAAATTGTAAACTCTACTTCCACTCATATTATAAATGTGAGTGATGGTTGCCAATTGTAGAGAAGTAAGCTGAAGTCGCTCAAAGAAGGAAGGAAAGGGGCAGCAGTGAGACAGAAATGTGGGGTGGCAGTGGATGAGACGAGGAAGAGGGAAGAATGGAAGAAATAAAGCTGGCTTTGTGGAGGCTCTGTTTCAGATTAATGACGATGAAGAAGAAGAAGAGTTTGTCGGTTTCACTAGAGAAGAAGTTGAAGAGGTACTGGAAACACATGACATTGTGTGGTTAATATAGCACAGTTCATCTGGTTCTTTGCTGCGTTAAGCTTACAATTATAACTGCATTTTCCACCACAGACTTGTCAAACAGTGTGTAGTTGTGTCCCTAGTGCTGGGAAAGAACTGTGGTTGGCTCTATTTGGAGATGAAGTAGAAAATAGAGACAACGACTTTCCAAGGATTTTCACAAGAAGAAATGTGAGGCCATTAAAGTTGCTCCCAATTAGATCAGTGTAGGCTTTATGTAGCTTAGGACTTGTGTGCATCATGTAAACCTTGTATTTGCATTGGTTATAGTGCAGGTACAGATGTCACCTGACTCAGTCAGAGTATGTTAGCTCTCGAGGTAGGAGCAAAGCAAAGGTTGACTATCAGGAGGAAGTCATTAGTGACGATGACGAATATCTCTGTAAGTCTGTATAAGTATTTTTAGGTACACTACAGTATCTGCAAGGATCTATAATACAATTGCTAGTTTACTAACTTAGATTGTTTCATGGGCAGCATTTACCATCATGTCAGTTTGCGAGGATTGTCAGGAGCTGCATCATGATGACTGTCCCAGTCCATGGAGCTCTGTCTCCCCTACCTGACATTGGAGACGACTCCACTCCAAACAATTTACCAAAGTAAGTCAACAAAACCGAACAATTAACCAGCTTCTAGTGTAACATTAATGTTAGTCTGAATATTAACAAATAAAAGATGTGTTCTACAGACAAGTCTCCATTGTGCCTCTTCCCAACATGTGAGGCATGTCAAAAATTCAACTCGGATATGCTTGGTTCCGAACCAAAAGACCCAGGGCACTTTCAAGTGGAGCGAAAAAGCATGGTGCTATTTTCTGACATTGAGGAATTTTTCTGCATCAGTACAATTATAGTTTAGTATGAGTTAAGAATAAGGCAACATTGATGCACCAATTGAAGGGATTTTGAGTGTGTTTGTTAAAATGCTGCAGTTGCCGGTGCCAGCCCAGCTGACGGTAAAGATGTCGTCTATACCAGGAGCAGGGCTGGGGGTGTTTGCCAACCATGAGGGCATCGCAAGAGGTGTCAAGTTTGGTCCGTATGTTGGGAAGAAGGTGCCTGCTTCTCACGTGGATGAAGATACCAACACTAGCTACATGTGGGAGGTATGTAACTTAGAAAACTCAACTGGTGCTGTATGCTAGCGATAAAGGAAAATAGCTGCTCATGAGTGTGATATTGTGTTTCATTAATGAAACCATCTTGGAATTCCCCTGCAAAATTTTGTGGGGAAGGCAAACCTTTCACAGTCCAAAAAAGCATAACCCACGATAGTTTTCTTCTTTCTTGCTACAGAACCGCTAAAGAACTACAAAGGCAAATATCCCTTGCAAGTTTGAAACTGCAGTCTTTTTTCAGATAAAGCAGGATGGGGTAAAATCCTATTTCATTGATGGTCGCGATGAGGAATGTTCTAATTGGTTGAGGTTCATCAACTGCGCTAGGAACGAAGAGGAACAGAATCTAGTGGCCTTCCAGTTCAAAGGTCACATATATTATCGGACGTTCAAGACAGTCTATCCTGGGAACGAGCTATTGGTGTGGTATGGTGAGGAGTATGCCAAAGATCTTGGGATATCTGTTGGACATTCTGGTATGTTACCTAACTCAGAATATGCTACCAAGCACCCAGTGTAACCTCTGATAAGGACCCTCTGAGATAGGGACGACCTCTCTACAAAGGACACTTGTTTCAACCACATGCTAATACTTTAGTGTATTATTTGACCTCTGAGATAGGGACGACCTCTCTACAAGGGACACTTGCTTCAACCCATGCTAATACTTATGACTATATATTCGTCTGATTTACAGGTGAACAGGCCAACCATATGTGCAGAGGTTGTGTGGCACTAGCTTCGTCGAGAAGTGTTCATTTGATATTCATTTGAAGCGCAGCAAGAAGTGTTCGGACGCAAATCCCCGAGTTTTCAAATGTGGCAAGTGTCAGAGAGCATTCAGTGAATTGAGCCAACTACAGACACACATTAGGCGACATCAAGAGTACGATGATAAAGAAAATTTGGAATCACGTTCCACCCACGGTGTTGAATTTGAGGATGCTTCCTTCTATGAAGAACCAAAGCCTTCTCGAGGCAAGTTGAGAGGGAATGCTAATGGAATTGATTCCAGACACCACAAATGTCAGTACTGTGGAAAAGTTTTTACTCGGGCATGGGATCTTCGCAGCCACATTCGAACCCATACTGGGGAGAAACCTTACAAGTGTCAGTACTGCGGAGTATCATTCACTCAGGCTGAACATCTACACCGCCACATTCGAACTCACACAGGAGATAGACCATTTCAGTGTCAATATTGCGAAAAGACCTTCCATAACCATAGTTCTCTACGCAGCCACACTCGAACTCATACAGGAGACAAACCTTACAAGTGTCCTCAATGTGGAAAATCATTCAGTCACTATGATACTCTACGCAAACACATTCGAACTCACACTGGGGAGAAACCTTACACATGTCCTCACTGTGGAAAATCATTCACTCAGTCTAGTTCTCTACACCACCACATTCGAACTCACACAGGTGAAAGACCTTACAAGTGTCCTCACTGTGGAAAGGCCTTCACTCAGTATGGTTCTCTACACACCCACATTCGAACTCACACTGGAGATAAACCATTTCAGTGTCAATATTGTGAAAAGACCTTCCGTAACCATAGTTCTCTACGCAGCCACATTCGAACTCACACAGGTGAAAGACCTTACAAGTGTCCTCACTGTGGAAAGGCCTTCACTCAGTATGGTTCTCTACACACCCACATTCGAACTCACACTGGAGATAAACCATTTCAGTGTCAATATTGTGAAAAGACCTTCCGTAACAGTAGTTCTCTACGCAGCCACATTCGAATCCACACAGGAGACAAACCTTACAAGTGTCCTCAATGTGGAAAATCATTCACTAACTCCAGTCATCTACACAGCCACATTCGAACTCACACCAGACACCAGTGTCCATCACCTGATAGTGTGGATCATTCATCAGTATTATCATGATATGCATGAGATCTATTTTTTGTAGAAAGAGGCTACTTATGTAGATGTATCATTATTGTTGATTGTGCATAATTATGCATGGCTAAAAGATCACTACTGCATGATGCATACACTATACTACAAGTATAGTGCTTTACCATGTACTTTGTAAGAATACATGCTATTTTTCAGGCCTACAACAAGATAGCAATCCACTCAACACTATAGTACAGTCAAAATTATCATTGTTCTTGACATGTCTTGTCACACTAGTTGGATTTATGTAACAACTACACCAGTTGCAGAGTATATTATGCGTAGGTGACTGTTTTGATTGTTCCTGTGGCATTACAAAACAAAACTATTATTTTCTGTATGGACAGCCTGTAGTGAAAACTTGGGGACTCTACCTCTATGCAGCAATTAGGGGGCCTTCAATTTCCGCCTCTGGAAAGAACTAATTATGTACTAACTCACACTCGCAATTACTGATTAACTGGTTACAGGCCTGCCGTAACTAGTTATAACCCCGCCTTAGCCCTATACCCCACGTAGTGTCTACAGCAAGTGGAGGTGTTTTTTTAACAAAACCTAAAAAGGAATATTGTGGTTGTCACAAGTTAGCAGCATTCTCACAACATCCATACAGTACTGAGGCACGGAGGAATTGCCTTCCACAATCCCCTTCAAAATAATGGTGGAATAGCCATGTGCGCATAAACAGCCTCTAAATATTATTTTCCGGTAACTCCCTGGGAATCTCCCGGGTATACGGCACGAACAACACACCAAATATGGTACGGTGCACTGACCGCATACAGTGTGTATTCATAACATTATCGGTACGTAGTCGATTGTTGCGAAATTCACTATGTCCTTGGAAATCCGAGTATTATACAGTCGAAGAAATGAGGGATATTTCGGAGACCACCAGACAACAGCACATTTTCTCGGATAACGCACCCTCCCATGAAATGCAGTGAACGTGTGTGGCTTATCGGGTACTCGGGAAGTGCCCCATCTACTCCCCTTTCCCGCCATCTGGAACTGTGTAAACAGAATTCAGAATGGGCGATAAAAAAATTCACTCTCTCATACACCAACTGTCCACTCCACGGCAGCACAAAAAATCAGACACACAAAGTGCTCTGGTTGCCGTGGATACCACGGTTACCATGGCACTGGCCAATGAGATCCCTGGTTCCTTCCAGCAAGGGCTGAAGCCATGCACAATGGTGTTTATCCAGACCATGTTCCTATGTCCACCTCTACCGATAAGGGTGTAGCCTAAGGAGTGTCTAAAAGCCAGGGCACCATTTTATCGGGAAAGCTAAATTCTCTGGTATGGAGGCCAACAATCCCCCAAAAGCCACACATGTCAGAGTGCACCATTGTCCAAATGCACACACAGATCTCTCCACTATCTGGAGCTACCGCAGGTTTGCATTGCACCATGCACTTCACGTGCTTCAAAAGGGTTGGCGTGACTCACATACCGATGAATTTTAGTCCAGGGCTCACGTCATATGTAATAAGAATAGTGTTCCCGGTGCGATCCCCGGGTATTTCCCAGTAGGTGACGTAGCCGTGTTCTCGAAGGTTCGATAGAGGTAGAAACCCTATAAGAGCATATAGGATAATAGAGAGGTGCCGTTCGTATAAAAGAGTGGGCAATTGCCGAAGAAGATCACAGCTGCCTGGATCGTTTTACTGGAACCACTTCTGGAGCTCTCTGAGGACCAAGCTGCAAGCAGATAGAAATCTTCACTCCTGAAGAAAGAGAGCTGCAACTGCATCAACCGATACCAGAAAGAAGTGACTTATCTGGTAAGTGGTTGTTACTAGTCACCTTGTCTGTAAGGTTCATCATTTTTTGCCATTTGCAGTATTCCACTGAAGAGGATCAGGAAAATTGTTATGGCTGTAAGTTTGAAGCTTAATTAAACAAATACAAGTGGTTATGTTTATACTGTGTTATTAAGTAGGTGTCGTGTATGATGCTAAGTCACTGATTGTTTTAGACGTGCATGTCTGCATGAGCAAGAGTCGCTGCATGCATTTGACCTGCAGTTTTTGCCTCCAGAGCAGTGAGCATATTCACGAGATACCGTATATCCACCTGTTGTTTCTAAATAAACAAAGTCAGAGATGGGCAGACTAGAGATAGGGGAGGGAGGGTCTTAACATAGCACTGTTGATGCCACTGCTAGATAGAGAGACAGCTTGCATGAGGCAATAAACTAACCCCTTTTATAGTGAACGTGAATAGAGGGTGATGCTGGGTTAAAAGTGCTTGATTTCTACTCTGTATGACGTTAGATCTGCTTTTGGTTCACTATTACATTGTTGAGCTCATAACGCGTTAACACACTCCCAGGAAGTTGTTGATCAACGTTCTGAATTCGGAGATAATTTTGCTAAGAGCAACAGATTGCAATTTATAGAGTCACATTTGGGTGACACGCCAGTAACACTTATTGTTGATGATACCTGCAAAAGGAAGTACGAACGAGGTGAACTCTATGCGAAACACCTCCGAATAATCCATGGATATTTCGTCTGTGACCATGTGGCTTTCGCAAAGTTCAATGGTTGCCATCACAAGATATTTTTTTATCAACCTCGAAAAAATTCCTCAGTTATTCCTGATCGCTGCCCCTTTCAAGATGGAGGAAGGCTGAATAGAGATTCAATTGATGAGTAAACTTCCTTGCTATATAGCTTAGCACAAATAGGTGCTGTATGCTTTTATGGTAGCTTGTATGAAATAGGGGTAGAGTAAAATTTTATGCTGCAATTAACGACTTGCGAACAGAGAAGGAAACATATTACGCAATAATTATAGGGACCTAAAATAATAATGCATAAAAATTATATGCATTTCAACATTTTCAGGGGACAGATCCTTCCTATGTACGAATTGATGAAAACTTGTATGCAGAGACCACAGCTGCACCACGATGCAGCTAGAAAAATTATTATGTGCAGAGACGACTGGGGACTCTATTGGGCAGGAAAACACAATAAAATACTCATGGAAACACAAAAAACAAAGCACGGATATCATTACTGTCAACATGTCCACGTTGTGAAATACACATGCCATGATTTTGTGGCATACCTGAAAACGTGGGATACATATTTTTGGGGATACTATTCCACATGCCGGGCAAGGGAGAGTGGAGATGGCGGCAGAATGATTTCCTGAACGTTTTCATTATCCTGACTAGCTATAGTCCATACTTTCTGTTAGTTAGTTATACATACAATAAACCAGTAATGTAAATGTATGCTGTGTAATGTAGCTTGAGCTACCATCTTTTCTCAGTGCTGGTCGCATCCCCCTTTACGACATGTTCCTGGATATGACGAGTTTAAGAGAGGATACGGCAAGAGCTCACACTTGCACATATTTCATAATTATAACATTGGTAGGGGCAGAAGCATTAATCTCATCCTAGATTCAACTTGTCGCACTTTGGTGAGAAATGGACGTCTTAATGAAATTCAGCTTCGTGACATCCTTGGGTACTATTGTTGTCCACACGTTGTTTATTGTCCGTTCACCTGCGGGGATAAAATGTTTTTCAAGAAGGCTGAATCACGAGAAGCAGGAAGGCACATACATCGGCTGCCATGTCCATTCAATGACGGTGGTTCAGCTAAAGCTTCTGAGGTTAATGTTGGAAATCCAGGAGAGAGCAAGGAACTTTTGAGAGTTACCTGATCTAGTTATCGTTTACACCCTAATGCAGTTCTAAAGCATTTCACAACTTCCGAAATTAGTTATGACATGCATGGCTTTTTTGTAAAATTAATGTTGATTTTTTACAAACTTGCAGCAAAGCAGGCCTCTGCGTAAACAGTATGATTTTGAGGAGTTTAAGCGCCACTACGGAAAGACAAACGATCTGACAGTCCTGCACAATGTTGCGACAAAAAATGGCGTCCCTGTCCACCTCATTCTAGACCCAAAATGTTTGGAAAAGTATAAGAGGGGTAACATGAGGGACATAAATCTCCACCCAGTACTGGAGTACCACTGTTGTGAGCATGTTCTCTATTGTCGGTTCACCTGTAACGACCACAATTTCTTTGTGAAGGCCAAGCAAGGCTATGGAACACCTGTTGGCGGCTCATCATGTCCGTTCAATGATGGCGGTCGTGGTATTAGTGATACCACAATCTAACAAACAAAACACACAATAACTTTATATTTTTATCCCATACCCATTTTTAAAATTATTTTCACGTAATTATTATTATGGCCTGCCTAAAATGGCCCATTTTTATAATGCTATACTCCTTTTTTTATGTTATTTTACTCTCTCAGACAAAGAGTACTCAGAAACTTCTCCATATTGTTGGGTATGATGAGTTTGACCCGGGATATTGCAAGACAAATAACTTGACCCTATTGAGAAATTATTATCCACCTGGTCAATGGCAAAGCATTGATCTTATCCTAGATCCCGAGTGCTTGGGTGTGTACAATAGACAAAACAGCCTAAGCGGTATTCGACTGCGGAAAGCGGGACCCTATCAGGTCTGCGAGCATGTTGTCTACTGTCCCTTCACTTGCCGACACAACCATTACTTCAAGAAGGCTTCTCGCACTACTGACGATCCTGGAACTCCCCTGTCTGGTCTTGCATGTCCGTTTAATGATGGTGGCTTGGCCATCCAATTTGGTCAGCTAACTATGATGGCTATTTTTCAGATGTTACCCTTCGCTACCAAACTTGAGTGTGAAGACAAAAAAACTTGCTGTTGGACTGTAGACCCTAACTAGCATTATAGCATAATGATAATTATTATATCCTGTACCAGCCGTCTAAGTAAAATTATCACATTTACAACAGCAGATTTGATTATGATATGCTGTATAGCTATATAGTGTCGGGAGAAATTTTTTTCGTTTCAATCCCCACAAAGTGCATTCCCCAATTATAATTATCTTACCACTTACAGAGCAACAGTACTAAGTGTGAGGGGTGTCAGAAGAGCTGTCCATCAGTGAAGACTTACAACAACCGCTTCCAGTGCAGCGAATCACACAGGCTGTGTTCCGACTGTAAGAACAAGCCAAAATGTCCCGTCGACAAATGGGCCAATAGACGTTAGTAAAACACCCATTTTTGTCAATGTCTTATTTACTCATTCATCCAATTATTCTTGCATCTTTTCCTTTTTTGAAATATGAAAAGGTCACAATGTCCACTCACCATTCTTCATCATTCATTTGGGTAACTCAGATCCATAATTTTCGCGCGCGAATTCAGATTTTAAAAGTGCGCGCGTCCGTTCGCGCGCAAGTCTGACGGCAGCGAGCGCGCAGAGAGCTGGGCCACGGCCGCGGTTTCATAGACAATGGCGCTGGCCGAGGCCGTGGCTAGCACTGTCAAATCCTTCCAAGACGACAAGAAGGAAGATGCCTCCTCCACCTCCTTGCAGCCGAAGGATTTCTTTTGGGACCAGTTTATAAAGTACATTAGCTCTGCAGTGCTCGCCCTGACCGTGTTGAACGTATCCGTGGAGTTTCTACGCGGAGGTGGGGTGCAGTGTTTTTCTCCGACCATCACGGAGTAAGACTAGCTCACAGCACTAAAATATAATATTCCTATAACATAATGAGTAGTATTACTAACAGTATAGTCCAATAGTGAAGAAAAATTAGATTGGCTTGCATTTTGCAGTTCTCTAATAGATGCGGCACCAGATCAACTGAATCGGGATTTCACTCGAAGCCAGTCCGATTATTTGAACAGTTACTGCTCTGAAAGCGTCCCAAACTCTGAATTCTTCTCAATCTTTGTAATCGTCCAAGGAATCCTACTTGTAGCGCCACATTTCATATGGGGCGCTGTTTTCAAGGGAGATTTCGACAGTTTTTTCGCCGTCACAGAAAAACTAGATCGACTCAGAGATCGCGATACAGGGGCGTATGATTCAACAAACTTTGACCGAGTTGAGAAACTCGAGCTGGAATTCGGACGCAAAAGAAAGCAGATTTTCGCCTGTTACATTTTGAAACTCCTGCTGCAGCTTGGTGTATGCGTAGGGACGATATTGTTCAGTGAGAACTTTTTCGAAGATTTCGTGTTTAGTTTCCAGTGTCCTAGAGGAGTTCAGAACGATACGGGTTTTCCTGAGAATTGGCCACTTGCGACTACCGTCCCTTGTGTCTTTGTCACACTTAGGGTTTTGAATCTGGTGCGATATGGGGACTATATCCTTATAGGGTTAGCCATCGGTTTGATACTGATGGGCCTTGCCTGGTGTGCTATACGTCATGCGAAGGAACTAGGGCACATGGATATTGCTACGTTTGTGTTTCAGTCTTGTCTTCCGACAAAAAGTCATGTTTTTCCACATCCACGGGAAGTTCGACCAAGACAAAAGCGTTCTGAAAACTGCTGGTTTTGCATTTTCCCGTTTGCTCTCCTCTGGCCGTGCTGCAAAGGGTGCCTGGTTTGCTCGTTTCGCTTCATGCTTTTCACTCCTCGTATCCGTAACGACCTGGATTTCCTTCAAATGGCCCTCTTCAGAGCCGACTCAAGCCATGGACGGGTGTTCAAGGAGATTCAAATCGACAAGGAACTTAAAAAGTTGCGTGGAAGAGATCACCAGCTCATCCATCTATTTCTGAACGTTCAGTTGGACATGGAAGCTCTCATTGTGAAGGAAGAGAGAAAAGAGCCAATGATGGTATGTACATTGTACACTGGAATAAACACATTTCATCACCAATCCCTCTGTTCAAGTATTTATCCCATGCACGTGCACTCACTACCGCATGTGCGTAATTAATGCGCTAGTCGCTAATTCTAAGGACCCCCCCTTAATAATGAGGACACCTCACTAATAGTCCCATAATGCGTGGTTGATTTAGTTACTTTTGCATCTATCTATACAACATAGGTTCAGGGGATGGAACGGCTCCGAGCAACCCAATGCGGGTTCTCCCACGTGAAAATGACATGAGGCAGTTTTTCAGAGAGGGTGGATTTTCAGGAAACCCTGAAATGTATGCCTTCAACCACTACAAAAGTCTTCTTGGAAACACAGAATGGGTATGTGCAGTGGGAATAGAATGTTTCTTGGAACTTCCTACTGACAAAATGACAGATTTG